GGACTGAATGCCTTTGGTATGGACCTCCAAATAAGAAGTTTATTTCCTCCCCAAACTCATCTCTATATTCTTGTCAATGACCTGAAGCTTTATTAAATTTCTTCATGAACTTTTGTTTGGTGTAGAAAAGTTTCTCATTAGAGTCTCAAGTTATTTAATTAATATGTCACTTCAGCAAAAACACCAAGTTATGTGCTAAACAACATCTTGTGACATTCATTCCCATTGACATATTTCTCTATTGGCCATTTCTTCAGTAACATATGAAAATAAACTTTATAAACATCTTTTATATGGTCATTGCATTTATTCTCAAAGTATTAAACCATACAGGAAAATTAAAGAATTGGCCAATAAAATAAAATAAGAATTCTTTTTGAGCAGACATTTATCAAAGTTTTCTGTCCTCTTGCTTACAATGAAATGTACATGTAATTTTTCTCAGCAGTCTGAATATCATGCATTGTGATTATAATTTCTCTAAGTAAATGAATATAATATTATACATTTTCAAAGAGATAAGAAATTTTACTTTCATTATCTCAAAAGTAAATTTTCAATCTTTGGAGTGAACATTCATGTCATGGAATCTTTTGCATGTGCTTCCAGCTTCATCGACCTTAATTTGGTACGGAAATCAATAAAATAAAACGTATTAATCCATTTATAGATGGCTTTTACTGGTAAATTTATGATCTTGTCAAGTAGTTTCTTTACATCACAGACATTATTTCTGAATGCCTACTTTTCATCAACTTTTAATTTTTAAAGCGTCTTGAATATCCGTGGTCCTTTAATGGATGCTGACGCCTTTAAACAAGGTGTTGATGGTTCGGATGATCTCTTGTCTAAAGGTCTTGTCAGATTCAGAAGTTTTTTTTAAATTTGTTATTCTGATTCCTTCTTCTATACTGATTACAAGACAAAGTGGAAATTGCACCCATTTTATGTCCTTTGAGTTAATTAAAAGTTTTAATGCACTGTCTCTTCAAACTGATCTCTGTCTGAGGTTTATATATACTTGTATGTGGATTCGTTTGTGTAATTCTTCCACTTTTCTATCAAAGGTTCATTTTAGCAAAACTCTAGCGTTCCAATTTTAGAAATCATTTGATTTCTGAAATCTTCGTGAAGTTTCGTCAGATAATGTTGTGTTTTCTTTGGATTCTAGAGTTAAACTTTCTTTGAAGGCCATCTTGAATTCCAATCTGAAAAAATGAAGGTCCTAAGAATTAAAACCTATAAAAAAAATTCTAACATAATTTAGTGACATATTTGCAAATACATGTATTTTAACTTATTTTTCAATTTTTTAATAATGGTACTTCTTGTTCTTACTGCTTTTCCATTGTTCCTTCTACTTTTTCTACTGATAAACATTCTTTTTCAAACTACATTTTACATCATAACAGATGGATATAAATTACAACTTAATCATTCATTAAACTTCTAACCTGATGTTGATACTGGAACATGAAATTCCCTTCTATGGCTTGAGTCTTGTCTGCTTTGGAAGCTTTGGAAGCTTCTTATATTCTATCCATTTTCTAATGTGGGTCTAAAAATTTCTGCCAATTAGTCGAATGTTTTACAATTGCACATGGATTAAGATATTGGTTCAGTGGGCAATAATCTCTAAATCTGCAAACACAGAGAGAAAGGGGGAGGGGGATAATGAATTTCGTTTTTAATAATATATAATATTCCATTCAATAAAATGCCCTGCTGAGCAGTAAGCACACATATATTTACAACACAATTATTTATCTTTCTGTTTTTTAGGCACTAAGGATTTTGAAATTGATGTTTGTAATATTTTCTTGCTTGTTTGACAATGAGAGTCCCTGTTACAAAACAACATGTAACAAACATTTGGTATACTGTTCACAACAAATAGTTATATTTTCTATATATTTTTGAAAGGTCTATCAATAATCTGAATTTAAAACACGTTTACCACATTGATTTATAGTAGGGAAGACGTGTTCTTTTTTATAAAAAGAAAAAAAAACGCGCTTGCCAAGAAACTGCGTTCCCGGTTATAATAAACGTCTGACGTCAAATGCTGTAAATAGATTTGAAGCACTGTAAAAAAAACGTTAACAAATAAGATTGCACGAAATCTGAACAACGTTTATTTCTTAGTTGGACATTAAGGTTTATAGTCAGAAAAACATACAAATATGAAACAGATGTAACATACTCCATTTTGTCTCACTGGGCAATATCGAGTCAACATATGAACGAAAATAATGTAAAAGGTAAAGATAACGAACAGTGGTCGATCTCAAAAATCCACAAACAATACAAATATGTGAAGAGGGCATAAAACACGAGCCCCTGGAAATCCCAGAGGGGTGATCAGGTGCCTAGGAGGAGTAATCACCCCCTATTGACCGGTCACACCCACCGTGAGCCTCATGTATTGATCAGGTAAACGGAACTATCCGTAGTCAATCCAGTACAAAAACAAAGGTCTTACAATTAGTATGAAATAAGCCAGCCAAAATACGACCCAATGGTAGGTTATATTTGCTAACAAGGTAATTTTAACGACCATAAAATTTACGAAATGCTGACTTTAAACGAGGCTATTGATATCCCTGTAATATCTGTTAATTGATGAAACGTATCCAACATCTAATATTGAATTGAAGACCATTGCAATCGGTTTTTTTTTCTTCTCATGTAGAAGTTTTTTTAATATAAATTCTGCTTCAGAAGAATGTAAAAACAGGTCGGCCAACAAAGGAGCACAATTAGAGCCCATCGAAATTTTAACAGATTGTTGGAAGACCTATTCTCCAAAGACTACATAGTTATTGTCATTGAAAAACTCCAGCATCATATCAAATTCAGAGTACTTGTGTGTAGAATCAGTACAGTAAATCGGAAAATAAATATGATCCTTAGCATGCAGCATGCATTTTTTACGTAGACCTACTATAAGCCAAGCACATTGAAGTTGTGCTTTATAGTTTTAATCAAAATTCATAATTGCACTTTCAGTACTTTGATGAACTTGAAAACAAGGATACTATAAGATCCAACATCATCTTAGAGACTAGGAAAAAATTAGAAAATGTAAATAAACCAGTGACATTATAGTTACTTGCACAAAACACATGAAATATAAAACGAGACAATGCATATTCAACAAAAAACAACTAGTCCAAAAACCGTATTTGTAATAAAACTGCAACAAAGACATGTACATATGTTTGTGCAGAAACAATTTCATACAGACAAAGCACATCACTGTGTGACTAAGGTAAACAAATACATCCACTGAGTATGAACTACCTTAACATAATTTCAATAATGTAAATTAATGGTGCAAAGGCACAGATGAACTTTCTCTGTAATTTTATTTCTACAAAAGCTTCATATTTGTCTTTAAAAGATCCCTGTAAAGTATGACTTTTTTAGGAACTTAGATATTTTTTCTTTCATTTTCTGAATATTTAATTGGTAAACATATTTATTAGTAAACATAATTGAGATTTCTGTATTTAGAACTACAAGTAATTTGTACTTGTAAATAAGACTACATATAATATTATCTTTGAGGAGATGATATATTCTGGTGAATATTTATGTGAAAACATATTCAAGTAAGATATTTTCTACATAAGCTTTGAGGTTTTTGGGAATTTTTTTTTGATACAGTGTTTATTATTTTTAAAAGTTCAAAAATAAAATAAAATTAAATTTAATTAAACATAAAAAGCAAGATAGCATTTACATGTATAGCATTCTGCTACTATGGCAATTTTTTTTATCTTTCTTCTAATTTTGTGTTCATTTCCCCCTTTTCTGAGTATGAAATGTACCAAAACAAACTCTTTTTAACTTTGCAATGGCAAAAATGCCATTCCGTGCATTGAATCTATAAACATGGAAATTTTAAATAAAAAACATCATTATTTTCTTAGTTTAAAACATGTAAACATTTGTAAAACCTCTTACAACATATTCTGTATAAATGCAATTTTAAAATGAGACGTTGCTCAATTTATACAAGTGTTCTTTCGATTGTAAAAAAAAATTCGACGCCTTCCGTTTTTTCTTACTGCATCTGGTGAATTAAAATTTAGAAATATGAAAATTAATTTAATTTTTCTGTCTAATCATCTCTAGATTTTAATTTTTTCAAGATTTTTTATTTGACCAGTAGATGATACTTAATGAATAATTGGACAAAGGCATCATTTCATGAAAACTGCGGACCTGTTTTCTAGTAGTTTTCATTGCCAACATTCCTCTAAACATTGATAATTCAATACTTTTGAACAAGCATTAATAAATACTGTTAATCATTTTTCAAAAATTAATAAACGTAAAAATAAATTATTAATAACTGAAAAAAAAATGCAAGTGAGCAATATTTACTGCTATCGTATAAAGTATACTAAGCTCGATCTAGTTTCTTTAATACTCGTCCTCAATTTCTACAACTTCCGGTATTATAATTTGGGAAATAAAAAGAAAATGCTTTGATGTATTTTTATTCAGAAAAATATATATTATTTCTTGAGATTATGGGTGATTGCTGTAGAAAGCAATTTTGGAAATCTTTATTTTACATGCGTGCGCTGTTCACCGGAAGTCCCTTGATGTTTGGAGGACAGATAGAAGACATACGGCCATATTTGCTGTGGCAAATAATGGCATAAATAATTACACATGCCAACAAAGAAATAAGTGGTTACAAAGTACGAAGATTCCAGTTTCGACATTTTGGTAAATGGTATCATTGTCTCACTAGTGGCATTGTTTTTCAGTCCTCGGTCACTTTGCTCTCAATAATTGCTAGCCTAGTTTGCAGCCAAATCAATTTGCAATTTTGAGCTATTATTTTATTTTTAAAAAGTGTTAAAAGCAAATATCTTTAATGCTATTGCTTGTTTATCGTGTTTTGAATGTGGAAGTTAAAAAGAATGTTATTGATGGCAGTGGATGCTATTTTTGGTATTTTCACAGGTCTCTACACAGTAACACCGAAGTCTCACCAAGGTCTCTAGAGAAACGGGATGGTTCGCCTGAAAGAGGAATCAGATGAGTACGTATTTCGATCATTAATTGTTGCTCTTTGCTGTTTTTTCCCTGTCACATCACAAATTAATTTTGACTGAGAAAGAAGAGTATTTGGTCCAATACATCAATTTTGCAGAAACATATATATTGAAAAACAAACTTGAAACTGAAACTTAAATTGCTTCTTATATTACTAACATCTACAAATTCGATGTACCCATTTATGATTTTAAAAAATGGAAACTAGGATAAGATGAGAATAAATGTATTGCATTAATAATTAAATCAGTAAACTTTCTTGTCTACGTCAGGGTTAGGTCACATTGCTTTTTGTCTCGAAAATTCTGGTGAAATCTTTACACTCTAACAATTTTATGTATATTATTGTGTATTTACTCATCCTTTTACATGTTTTTTTTCAAATACAGGTTACAATGTACAATCAATTATGCATTTCAGTTGACCAAAAAAAAAAAAAAAAAAAAAAAAAAAAAAGGTTTAACCACCAAGAGAACTTTAAAATGCATTGATACAACCCATCCCTGCATGTCTGCCCAAAAATGAACCAAATGCATAGATTCTTCAACATAACACTCTGTGCATAGATATCGAGAATATGCATTAATAATTTGTTATCATTGTGGTTTTTTGTCACATATGCAAGGCATGCAGTTTGCATAAAAAAAACTATATGCTACACATTTAACAATGTGATCTTATAATTGCAGCTGATGTTTAACGAACGACCCAGTATGACATTTCAGAGTAAAAATTGAACATAAGCAAACACAAATATCAAAGTAAACTGGATTGTTATTCCCCAAAGTTTGTCATCTTTGAAAAAATATTTTGTTCAAATTCTTGTTACGTGTGAATGATTGTGTTTTTGGAGAATTCAAGCAGACAGCTCAATTAGTCCTAGTTTAACATGATAATCACATTATGTTGTGTTAAGAATTCTGTATAGTTGTCCTGTCTCGTGGTTAAAGTGTCAGCTTTAACAAATACGAAAAAAAGTATCCAATACTTTAAAAATTTCAAGCAAGTGTTTGTTCAGTACCATTGATCAAATATTCATATGAAATTTTGTACGTAATTATATCTATATTTTTCCTTCTAGGGTACAAGTCCCAACGAGCCTTTTCCCTTCGTCTGTGCCTATTTTATATTATTCCAATGAATCAGTTCCAGCTTAATTAGTAGTAACTCAAAGCTTCTTGCATTTGTCGCTGGTTGCAAAATTTCTTGAACTCTTCCTTTTTTCTACCCATGTTTTGTCCTTTAAAGGTTTGCAAAAGTGTGTTCTTCCTATCTTTAATTTTATTTGGGTTTTTTCCTCCAACACAGATAAATGTCCCCATAATCTTTCAAAATCATTTGCTATTTTAGTACGTGTATATTAATCGTAAAGACTGGCAAACAAGGGTGCAAATGTGTATAGATTCTAATGTATAAAAATCAAATACAATTTGTAAATGAAGTATTTAGAGCAAAGTTCTAATTATTTTTAGGGTATGAAGTAGTGACAAACATAACTTTTCGACTGAAAAATTCTCTTGGCAAGTAGTGACAAACATAACTTTTCAACTGAAAAATTCTCTTGGCAAAATTTATTCTAAGGTAATTTTTTAAAGGATTTCTTGGGATTTGAACCCAAGTGATAAAATTCTTGGGTGTCAGGGTTTTTTTTTCTCTTAGACTGACACTATAACACATGCACTTGTTACGTATACGGGGCACCCCCCACTTATAAGTATACGAAACAAGTGCCTGTGCACTATAACCATTACACCAGCCAATTTAAAACGGGAATTGTCATAGATATGACCCTTAAATAACTGGACTTCAACTATTTCTCGAAAAAAATACGAATTTTGTGCATAAAAATGTGTTTTATGGTAGAGTGGGTCCTTGCTCCATGGTTTTGTTAAGTAAAAATGTATACTTTTCAATATACTTAATATCCACTTATATGGAAAAGTTGTATTATAGCATAAAGAAATGAATATTTTTGCCCTCCTTGGTGTGTGCATGCTATTTCATAGACGAATAATTTAAACACGTGAGATTGTTGCAAATTGTGAAGATTTTACAGGAAGTATATTTTGTTGTTAACTGAAATAAAGAAAATTGTGTTATAATTGAGATTTAATTTTTTACTTCCATTGGCAATTTTCTTGGCTTTCGCCCATCTTCTTCAGTGAAAACATTTGAACTTTAAAAAAGTTATTAAAAATAGACTCGGTTGTGAAAATAAATCATTCTCTATCTATCTATCTATCTATCTAGTCATTTAAAATTATATGATTTGTAAATTGGCAACAGAAACGTCTCGACGAAACTGTTTTACTTATAAAAGTTATAATTACTTTCCTTGAGCCTGTGTAACTTGTTCAGAAATTAAAAGAAGCTTGTAAAATTCATTTAGCACCTCCCCCTTTTTTAAGAAAAATGAATGAATGAAATATAATGGGGTAAACTGTAATTTTTGTAATACGAATTTCTGATTAAATTCAGATTTTATCAAGTGTAACAGTGAATAATTAGATTGAATCAAATTGAACGATTTCTTACCTATATGGCTTAAATCCCTAAAAAGATCCAGTCATGTTTGCGCTGAGCACGGATTATAACCGAACCAGCAACTCGACTACTTTGCAGGCCCCAGAATAGACTTTTTTGTTTTAAAAATTACGTCTTAGTTTAGTTGTAACTTCATTTTTTGCCACGTATCAGTAATTTGATTTATCGTAACGGAAAGGGTTAGCTTTTGTGTGTAAATACGTACTGTTGTTATAATAATGATACGGAATAGTTTTTGCGAATGTTTTAAATCGAACTACGTTTTATTTTCATCGCATAATGGTCAAATGCTTTGTAACTACGCAGTTTATACCTTGAAAAGCTCACAAATCATTTTGTTTCCCACGAAATATTGTTTCCTACGTAAATTTACTAATCTGGATAGTTCTAGAATTACCCATGCCCAAACACCAATGAAGTTCTAGATTTATCCAAACCTTTCTCGATTTACGTCATAGGTGTCAAACTATTTCGCTCTACTTCCGCTTCGCACCGAGACGCATTCAGTCTCTTACACTACGTATGTATTGTACCTAAAGAATATATAATAATTATTTATTTAAATGTAATATTCATTCCACGACTTATAAATTATATTTAAATATAAAAGCTATATTAAGAAACAAAAGTAATATTATAGTTTTGTTTGCAATTACATAATTTTGATTCTTAAAACATGTTTCTAGGAATTATTATATTTTGTGATATGATTTTAAAAATCGTCAATTTACAAGAGAGAAGCATTGTTGGGCGATATAAGGCCCCAACATTCATCATTACGCATATGTAGTGTGTGTGTGTGTTTTTCCAAAGAAATAATACTTTAAAAAGAAACAAAGAACATATCAAAAAACTTGATGTATAGCAAATCTCGCGATTAACAAATATTTATTTATTCCTTTTTCTACATGTATTATTTTGGCAATGTTAAATCCCCGTGGACTTTGAATTTGCCACAGTGTCAATACCACTGGTTGAATTCAAGGGTTCGAATACAGGCGCGGATCCAGGAATTTTTTTCCAGGCGTGGGGGGGGGGGGGTTTACACCCTAGTGAAAAAAAATTCCTATCCAGAAATTTCTTTTCAAGCAAAATAAATAAATAAATAAATAAATAAATAAATAAATAAATAAATAAATAAATAAATAAATAAATAAATAAATAAATAAATAAATAAGACTCCTTTCCCAAACGTATCTAACCCAGAACATTTCTTGAAAAGCAAAAAAAAAAAAAAAAAACTGAACTAACTAAGGTCCATTCTTAAACGTTAAAAAATCCCTATTTCGTGGTGATGGTGGTGGGGTCTACGTTTTCTGGGGTGGGGGGGGGGGTTCAAAGTCATTTTTTTTATTTGCTTCAGTATATACTTTTAATAACTCTGCAAATTCAAGGGGGCCGCCCGCCCCCCCCCCCCCCCCGATCTGCGCATGGTTTAAATGCAGGAAGTTAAAAAAAATCAATCTAACGATCGAACCTATAGTTTGAAGGCCAAGGTATTTATTTTGAGATATCTTGATAGTTAAAAAAAATGTAATTTATATATGACAGCACCCATGTGCCCATATCATTGAAAAGCTATGAATTATTGGCTATTTAAATTGCGTGCAGCTACAGTACTGAAAATTAAGTTTGCGGCCAGTCTAGCCTCAATAGATCATCTTTTTCCCGACAGTTTAAGGATTATTTATAAAAAAAATATCATTCTGATGAAATAATTAGTTTAAAAAAGAAACATTCACCACTGGGAAGTATCACATCTATAGCTTCCAAAACTCTCTGCATTCTTACAATAGTCTGTCAAAATATATACAGATATATACCGAGGTGTGATTTCTTAATATTTATTCTGAGGGAAATTTTTAAACCCTCTCACCCTCTCAATTCAGGGATGGATCGAAGAGAGGGACCCCACCCCCACTCCCCGCAATTAAAATTGTCTTGATAAAACGTATACTGTAAAAGTCGTTATTGTATCAACCCCCTTATGAAAAAAGGTTTTAACCCCCATCCCTCCATTTTTTATGGTCAAAAGATTTTTTAGTAAGAAATAGAGCCCCATAGGAAAACTTCCTGGAACCGCCCTTGCTTTCTGTTGCCATTTATTTTTTTTTTTTCTCACAAATTTGTCTTCTCCCTCACTGGAAATCATGATCCCCCTTCCACTTGTTGTCGCATTTATTTAGAACTATTGGTAGATTTTTTTACGGAAACAAAAATAAAATTAGCCAATTGAGACCGAAAAAGCTTGGGAGATTAATGCATTTGTTCAAAACACAAGAACTGTTCATATATTGAATAGCTATCATTTTTCAAATTTCATTCAAAACGACTCTGGGTACATAATATTTATTCATTAAATATTATTTTATAAATTTATCTGTTTAATTTTGATTGGTTGGTTTGGTTTTATAGATTAATTGAATCACTTAGGTGACGCTGTTTTTATCTGTTACCGTTCATTGTATTTCCTCTTATGATGTGCGTACACTTAAACATTTTCAAATTCTTTCTTAGGTGGCAGAACCATTTTCAGCCAATTTTGACATTTAGCTTCTGTACGTGAAAGGTAAAAGGTCATTAATTTAGAAAGGTCCATGTCCACTTAGGGTTTGTAATATGGGGTCAAAACCAGCAAAATTCATGCAATCGTTAAGATTCTTTACATCGTTAAGATTCTTTTTTACTCACTGACAAATTACAGGCAAAATTAACCTTACCAGAATTCTGGAATTCATGTCTAGTCGGTCCAGCGTTCTGGTCCCAGGGTAGGGATAAGTTGCTCATATACATGTGTTGCAAAAACATATCACCTTTAAAAAATGCAGCATGCAGACTATTTGCATAATTTTCATGAGCAGTGAAATTCATACCTGTCTAAATTATAAACTCTTGCCACTGCCTGGGTAGGCCCAGTTTTAATTGATCTTTGGAAGCCTTATTCTTCGACCATGGAGATAACAGAAATGTTTGGATGGTTACAACTTGAGCTTTGAAATTGGTTCAGGATTCAGGTCCAATTCAAGAGTTGGACCTAGCTGGCCCTATATTGAAAAAACATATCTTTGACATGATTTTTCTTTACTCTATAGGGCATATATAGCGGGCGAACTTTTTTTGCATGATTATATAGAGCAGTTAGGCCTCTAGCAAAATTTTAAAATTCATGCACTCTGGGTTCGGATCCCGATTGGGGGGATAATTATGTTGGTCATAACCTGAAAATTTGTTGTGCGGAACAGAGTATTAATTAATAAAAATGTAATTTATTTTTGGACTCTGTATTCATGGTGACAGCAACCCGTGAGTCCAAAGTGTGAAATCTTTGTCCCCGGGGCTCAGGCCACATCTGGAGCTATGTGGATCATGCATTTAAAGTGCACTACATGTCTTTTTAAAAATCATATTACTCCTGAGCATTTTCAAAAAGGCTTCATATAGTGTGGCAATGAACATTTATATAGAGTCCTGGCCAAACTGTAAAATTCGAACTACACGAGTCCATGCATTCAGCCCAAACGGGACTGAGTTAATCTTAGGATTAGCCTCAGAAACTCGTAATGCTGTCCCATGCAGTGTACATAGACACTTTGTTATAAGCATTAAGGTAGTCCGATCCTCAGGTTCTGAAAATCAGCTTTTAGGTAATTGAAAATGCTCACAAAAATGTCTCTGATTTCACAGAGTAACATAAATTTACCCATGATATTTCTTCAAAGTTCATCATTATAGTTAATCATATTATATAGGGAAAATTATCAAATCTAACATATATTTTCAGGAAATGTGAATAAAAACACCAGCTATGTATTTTCTAATTGAAAATTGATCAACAAATATATTTTAGGATAAAAAAAAATATATAGGTATCCAGGCATTTGGAGAAAATTGCATCTTTTTTTATGCTTATACAGTATTTTAGTTCTTCTATTTACTTCAATTGTTATAATACATAGTGTAAAAAGCTTGTACTATCATTGATAGACATTAAATATCATGTGTAATTTCATATCATGCTAATAAGCATTGGTATCTAATGCTAGATTAAAGGAAATTCAATTTCTATAAAAATGAATTTATTTTTGTCTTTTATGGGGTACAAATGTCAACTTTTTACAAGAATGTTTTTTAATACTTCAAAGAACTTTGAATCCTATTGAGATGCATAAAATGAAAATTGTTGCATGAAAAGATCTCAATTTCAAGCTTCAGTTTGAGACTTTTAAAATAAAATTATAAATTTAAGAGTTACCCATCCTGGCTGAGGATCGGATATCCTTAAAAAACAAAAGCTTTGTGAAATTCAAAATATGATTGACTTTTACATGGTTTTAAGGAGGCCGAAAAATATTTGTTATGCGGCGATGTTGTTTACATTTCATGATTGTAATCTCTAAAATTTACAAAACGATTTTTTTTCCTTCGAATGACCACAACACATCGCCTATGGACGCCATCTCATTCTGTATTTTCAAGTAAAATAAATGAATACTGGGATGTATACCTTTGTATATGATTTTCCGTATCCCGTAAATATTTCAGTCATTTGAATGAAAATTCCTTGTGCAGATCTAAAAAGATCGGGAATCCGAAGCCACCACCTTTTTTTGGTGTAATCAATTCTACATGTAGTAGACTAGCCTAAATTACTTTGGATTCAATATGGACCGCCCTTAAAACCCAGGAAAGATATTATATAAAAGCAAAGTTAATATTTTCGGTTCTGTTTTCTTTGATTTGTGTTTGTCAGTTTTTTTTGGGGGGGGGGGGGTAGGTCTAAAAGTATTTTTTTTTAGGTCGATTAATTTCTGAGTCGCGTTTATTCCTGTTCTGTCTACTTTATCAATACATAGGGCTCACGGCGGGTGTGACCGGTCAACAGGGGATCCTTACTCCTCCCAGACATCTGATCCCTAATCAGGGATTTCTAGGGGTCCGTGTTTATGCCTTGTTCACATTGTATTGTATGAAGTTTTTTATGAGATCGATCACTGTTCGTTTTCTTCACCCTTTTTCATTCCAACCAAATATTAGATTAGTATTGCTTTATGATTGGCGAATTTTTAATCAGAAATGGAAATTATGAAAAGAAAATCTTAAAAATCACGTGTTTTTAAAGTATTTATTATCAATATTTATTTATTTTTACAAGAAAATACAGAAGGGGGTATCAATGAGCTATGTGACTGTGGAGTGACAGCGTCCATTCACATGGGAGCATAAAAGCCGAAAAGTAGCAAGAAATACCAAAAAAGAGGCCAAAAACGTTACAAGAAAACTGTAATGAAAAGGACTCGAACAGGCCGTAGAGTCAGAAGGGGGTATTTATTTAACATTATTTGCATCTGTGACTGCAGTCAGAAATAATATAGTTGCATGCTCATGTTGTTTACCCCAGAACTGGCTCAAACTATCTAATCGAAGTTTGTCCACTGTCTCTCTGTCGTTAATTTCAGTTCTAAAACATGTAAAATCCATGCATTTGAAAAAATATTCTATCCACTAAGACCCCCTGGCAATGACAATTAGAGTGGTATAACAGCATAGCTCTATCTCCATCAAGGATTCTTTCTATATCCCTTACATGTAACATTATGTAATTATTTCTACCAAGTGGAGGCATTTGCATTTAGACAGTGAATTTAAATCATTTTTAATTTTTTTTTTGTCTATTTTGTTGTGCCCCAACAGAAATTTGCTTCCTATGGGCCATTCTTACAACGTCAGCGGTCCTGAGTCAATTCTTCGATGTGGTCCCACGGCAATGAGACGACTCAAGACCTTTGAGTCGCCCACGTGGCGCAGTGGTTAGAGCGTTTGCTCTAGAGTTGCGGTGTAAGGAGTTGATCCTCGAATCCCACTGTGGGACATGGAGACCGGTCCTTCGGATGAGACGGTATAAACCGAGGTCCCGTGTTGCAGTAGGTGCTGGCACGAAAAAGATCCCTCGTTGCTCAATGGCCCTAAGTGCCGAGTATTGGTCAAAATTTGCAGCCCTCCACTGGCAAGTGGAGGCGTCTGCATATTAGTGAAAAATCCTCGAGAGGGACGTTAAACAACAAAACAAACAAACAAGACCCTTGTCGTTGTGAGGATACCCCACGGGCCTGAGATGTCTTTCTACAAGCTTTGGCTTTTATATATAATTTTCACATGGGAGTTTGGGGTCCAATATGTTCTATCTAGAAAAGAAAAATATAAGGAGTGAGAAGGAATGGGGTGGGGAGAAGTGCTTGTAGCTGAGCTACATGTAGGTACTAGTACATAGTATACATAGTACTGCAAAGATTCAGTGAGTTAAATATAAAGCCCCCACCCCTCAATACCTCATGATTCCAATGCAAACAAGTAAATCCTTTTAAAAAGCATTTTTAACTTTATATACGAGGAGTTATCAAAAAGTTCGTAGACTGATGCGATAAAATTAATACTATGTTGTCGATGATGACAAAATTTATAAGGAACATAAAAAAACAAGTTTAAGAAGTGCTGAAAATTTAAGCTGGATACGTTGATAATGTTCCAAATGATCATTAAATAAAAAAGACATTATATGATCACCCGTCGCCGTCGCCGTTTAGTTCCATGACGTCCGACAACGTCTTTGTTTCTCAATGTCCGCTCTCTCTGCCTCAGTAGACTTCTCTGGAGTTAAGTAAAGACCTATACCCGTCTTGTTTAAATGACTTTATAATGTCATGAACAGCTGATTTCAATGCATTAATATTGTAAATGAATCTAAACATAGGTAAAGATCCTCGTTTGATTATGCCAGCATAATTTGCTTGTCGGAGTTCACTGTCTACCACACAAGTACCATGGATGCATTTTAGTTCTCTGTCAGGCCCGTATATATATATATATATATATATATATATATATATATATATATATATATATATATATATATATATATATATATATATATTGTGAAATGGGTTTTGTGTTTCACCTCAGTCTTTCCAAAAAATTATTTGGCTCCATATTCTCTCTTCCTCTTGGTGTTTCTTGGTGCAAAGTTTTTTTTTTATCATCTTTATCTCTTAGCAGGCCCGTAGCAAGTTTGGGGGGGGGGGGGGGCAATTTTTAGTTTAACAAAGTCTGACAAAAGTCTAACATGCCAGAAAAAATCTTTAACTGTCCAAATAGAGAAGGAGGCTTTAAAATAGTATTAATTAAATTCTATTTTCAGAAAAGCATCAATAAAAAAAATAATAATAACGTTAATCTAACGTATTTTATATGTAATAATGTCGCGCTAACGTTATCTCAACGTGTAGTGCAATTACGCAAATGTACACAAATGACCGTATTCAAAGTTAATGACTGACATGTGGTAATATCGATGTAATAGCGCATGAGGGAAAATGTGTTTACTAATTTCACATAATATATGATAAATACAATAGATTAAGTGTATTTTTTTTTTTTTAATATTTTTGACGCATTCTTGAACTTGACATTTGATCGTAAATTTTCAGCATGCAAAAATGACGTCGTTTACAGTTTATTTTCTGACTCGTGTTGTTATTCCCCTTCCATAGCCGAAAGACTGTTTACCATACCTAGTGGTTCTTGGTCTTGGTAATTCCAAAGTCTTTTCGTACCTAAAATTGTATATGGAATTTCTCTGTTGAACTAAATGCACTGGCAAACTGTTTATTACCACTGTCTTCTAAACATCCATATATGGCATGCTTGTCTTTATTTTCTTATATCTCCGTATTAACAGCGTCAAAACTCTCTTGCCGAGTGGATAAGTCGAATTACACCATGAAATGGTATGCGCATTTCCTCTGATAGTGTAAATAAGGCGATTCTGGGAAGGGGGTCCTCCATGGAGTTTGGAGCTGGATACCTTGTGTTATTATTATACTATGGTTTTAAAAATTTATTACCGAAATAAGTGCCCGTGGACGGAATTACGGGGTTGGAGATCGATGCCAAACTCTCACCAGAGGGCGTATTATAACGCTACGGCTAAACGCTACAATTAATAGAATGGATCGCAAATTATCCCTCTCCCCCCCCCCCCCCCCGGGTTCTACGGGTCTGCTTAGTTTGTGCAGAAGCATATATAACATTATGTTGTTTATGTCTCTGGTTTGTAACATTTTATATCTTTTAGGAAAATCAATTCATAGCTGCGCTTTCTATCACTCTATCCAAATTGCGGGCACGCTGCTTTCAAAAGTAATCTGGTCCCCAAACACAAAAGATCATGCTAAATATGCCCAATAACAGATAACGCAGTGTTCTAAAATGTTTATTATTTTTATTTGTATACAATCCCCCAGTATATATCTATTTAGCGATTTTTTTAGAGATAAAAATACTTAAAGTTGGGCGAAGGATTTAGTCCTTCAAGTATAAACAGAAACAGATCTTACTTTCAGATGTTTAAAAAGGAACTCAGGTTTTGCTATGATCCCAAGACCAAATTACATATCATTATTGACAATTTGTATTGTGCGCTAGGCGTATATAGTTTGCTTTTTTAGAAGTTAACCACCTGTACCAGAGACATAAAATAATATTTATGTCATGTCACATGTGTGTGTATTATCAATGATTGATACATGCATGTATCTATTTTTAATTATATATTTTTGTGATTGAAACTTCGGGTCTCAATGTGTAATTCAAAACTATTAAAATCTACGAAATACCAATTATGAATAGATAGAGTAACATAAAAATGCACAAATCATCGTTCCAAATGACCATGCAGTCCAGCCCATGTATTAGCATGACCTGGTAAAAACTTCCAGTCGATTCTCGCGAGATTCCCTCTTACGTAGAAGTTGGTTTCGTCAAAATGTCCTCGGAAACTCCTATGGAAGAGGACCCCAGTCCACAGACAGAATTTCATTCCGGGGAGTTATTGTTAAGTATCGTCGATATAATGTGTACTGTTTTGATATATTTTCATTCATGCGAAGGTCATAGTGGTAAAGATTTTTTTTAATCTGTGCCGAGCTCGATTTAGAACTGGGATTTCCCCCTTCTCGTATGTTCTTAAGTACTTTTCGCATAAAATGCCCTGTTTGAGACGTTTTTTATGAAGAATTAGTTTGATAAGTTTTATTAAATGCTGCAAAATGTATGTTCACATTTTAGAACGTAATTTTGAAAAACAGGATATATGATTTCCATGGAAACTTCTAGAATATATGGAGATAAAAAAATCGGATTTTTTTTTAATAGCCATGATCCATATTTACTGTTGCGTAGCAAAATTATTATATGGATGAATTATTTAGACATATACACATTTTTAAAAATATTAAAATAATGAGATTTTATTTAGATCTTAATCTAAAATCAACTGAATTAAGCTACTTGAATATAATAAGACAGTTATAGTATATTGATATGATTATTTAAGTGACAAAAAATTCTTTCATAAGACTTTCTTTTATGTAAATTTTAAAATTTTTAATTTATTTAAAATTAATGATATTACAGAATTACAATTTATAATTCATGATGGATATGATTTTTTTTTTATTATTGATTTAGCTTTTTTTTAAATTAGTTCTAGCAAATGTAACTAATATCATGATTTTAAAAATTTAGAAAGACAAACATCGATGCAGAGAGAAAGAAAGCTGAAGGAAATGCATTTTATTCAAAGAAGCAGTATAAAGAAGCAATTCAGTGTTACACAGAAGCCATCGGTAAGGTTTAACTGTAAAGCCTGTGCCTGTTGGTTAGATTTCCATTTGAAAAGTTTATTTCACAAAAAATACCTGTTTAATGATTAAGATTTGATTCCTGGGATATCAATAATCATTTTGATTATTAGTGAACCTCTCCATTAATTTATTCTTAATGGCTTTGATGTTTTTGTTTAGATACATGCCCTAATTGTGCTGCTTACTATGGGAACCGAGCTGCTGCCTATATGATGCTGAATAGGTACAAAGATGCACTGCATGACATCAGAGAAGCACTGAGGATTGATAAGGCATTTGTGAAAGTAAGTGACTTTTTTTTTTCAAAAGTAATATTAGAACCGATCATGAAGAAAAGATTTTTTTTTTGTGTTAGAATAGTGGAGTTTTTGTACCATATAACTACATGTGCCTATTTTGTTTCTATGTTTCTTAATGTCACCTTGTTTTGAGTTGTATTTCATAAATTTTATTTCAACAGGTGAATGAGGGAAAGAGTGGGGGGGGGGGGGGGGGGGAGAATGGTGATAATGTTGAGTGTTTAAGAAATTCTTACACTATGTGCAATGTATTTACACATGTGTGACTACTTGCATTTAGCTCAATAAATCCACTTGTTTAGTGGCATAGTTATGTACCTTTTGCTTGTAGAAGAGAAAGGGGGATGAAAGAGTAAAAAGAAATATTTAATATAAAGTAAGGGTCAAGAAATATGAAACTTGGTGTGTGTGTGTGTGTGTGTTTTTGGTAATGTGAGAGGATTCAGAGGAAATGTTACCACTTATTTTAGACTGAGTGATCTTACCACTTTGTTGTTTTCAAATTTGATTACTCAGACACAAGTGAAAAAAGCCTACAACTGTTTTAACAGTATAGAATACATGGTCATATTGGCATGTTTCTGACACTCAACACAAAGGTAACATAAATTGCTTATTTTGTTAGGGGCTTTCTCTGGAAAGTCTTCCTTAAAACCACCACTAGGAGAAAATGGGGATAATTTTTGCCACAAAAATCAAAATGTTTATCCAAAGTACAGAGAAACCATTTTTTTATCCAGATTTATTTGACTTTTTTTAGGGATACCTCAGAGAAGGAAAGTGTCACCTTGCTCTAGGAGAGCCCCAGGCTGCTCTCTGCAGCTTCAGAAAGGTTCTTGAACTGGATCCAGACAATGCAGCAGCAAAGGCAGATGTAAGACTTAAACAAAGATATCAAGCTTTATCTTACAGTAATAATGTCATATAATAATACAGTCTTAAATAGTCATTCATGGTAGGGATTTTTTAGCTCACCTCGACGAAGTCGAGAGGAGCTTATGCTATACCCCCGGCATCAGTGTCGGCGTTAGCGTCGGCGTCCCGGTTAAAGTTTTAGGAGCAAGTCCCATTCCCAAGTAACTATAAGCCCTATCTGGACCAAACTTGCATGGATGATGCATCTAGTGATGGACACTACCACACTTGCTTCGGATGCTGGATCTGACCTAGATTTTCCAGATGAGTGACCAGGTTAAAGTTTTTGGAGCAGGTCCATTCCCAAGTAACTATAAGCCCTATCTGGACCAAACTTGCCTGAATGATGCGTTTAGGGATGGACACTGCCACACTTGATTTGGATGCTGGATCTGACCTAGATTTTCCAGATGAGTGACCAGGTTAAAGTTTTTGGAGCAGGTCCATTCCCAAGTAACTATAAGCCGTACCTGAACCAAACTTGCATGGATGATGCATCTAGGCTCAGTGATTTTTTTTTTTTTTTAAACCACCACCCCCTCCTTTTGAATTGGGAAAAATTAGCGACATTTTCCTCAAATTGGGAAAAATTATTTATAGTAAATTAGAAAGCTAAAAAATACATAAAATAATCAAACTAAGTAACAACAACAGATTTTGTTTGATTTTAACTTTGATTTTGATTTAAATTCATAAAATAATCATTTAAAAATATTAACATCAATATTTTATTGAATGTGAACATGGCTTATCAGTGATTTTTCTACACCCAATTTAGGTCCGAATATCAGCCCTTTCCCCTCTCAAAAATTACCGATTTTTTCCCAATTTCAGTTGCTTTTTTCCCCAAAATAAATTTGCTGTAGTTATTGTTATATTGAAATTTTTACGTACGACTTATCTAATATGGAACGCTATTGTTCTTGGTCATTCAGACTCTTAAATTAATGGCGAGGAATAGCAGATTATTTTGTGCATTTACAAGGTGTAGAAAACACATTTTGTGGAAAGATGCATGTGAACTGACGAAACATAGCTTTATTTGTAAATCAAACTAGTAGTAGTTCTACAACATGCATCCCTGATTCGACGAATATCAAACTGTTTCTACACCTCTCAGATGCAACTAGTATTGCAGAGAAATTGCGGTAATATGATTAGGGCAATTCATAAAGCTTTAACTAGTTAATAAGTTGATAGAAAAATAAATTACTTGTCATCTTGTCATTAATCATGTCAGATTATCCCATCTTCAATGGCTATTACGAGAAGGATTTTCTCTTATGTCTACTATTATGGCAAAAAAAAAATTTGAAATATAGGAAGGTCGCACTTACCGACAACTTTCAAAGATTTTTTTTTTAAAAGTTAAGAATGTAGAACTGTGTCTAATTTGTAATTTTGTAGCAAATAAATTGAATAAATGATGTAACATTTTTATAAATATTCTATTTTACCTTTTAATTAAGGTTAAATACAATTTTATTGAATTTTCCCAATTTGACACAAATGTCGATGATTTTTCCCAATTGAAAAGGCCCAGGCCCCTTTTAAAAATTGTAGAAAAATCACTGGCTTATATTAGTCACATCTTGTATATAGCTTCTATTTTCTTGGAATTGCTTTGTCTAATTTCATTTTTAAAAAAAAATAAAATAACCAGTATTTTGAAATCGCGATATTGAGCAAAATAAACACCATTTTTGTACTTATGTTAATATTACGGTATATTTTGAATAAAAATTTAACATATTTTACAATAAAATGTATTCAAGAACATAACTAAAGGGGCATTTCGGTAGTTTTCAGGGGCATTTCGGTTATTTCTATGGGCATTTCGGTAAATCGGGGGCATTTCGGTAATTCGGGTTACCCTTAGAATGACCCTCTATGTAATAATGGCGGTCAAACCAAAATCATTATGTCAACATGCATCATGACTTGTATCTGGGGATTATTTACCAATTCATTGAGAATATTATAAGCTACTTATCTGCTTATATGGATATCTGCATTGTTTTACACATTCATTAAAAAAAATCAGCTGCATATGCATGGATTTGAAGAATAAATACGTATTTACTCTGTCAGGAAATTTAGCGACTTTTGTTCAAAGTTAAAACATAATTTTCGTATGTTTGAAATTGGGAAAAATATACTAATAATTGGGAAAAAATAGCTAATTTTTGTGAGGGGAAATAGCCGAATATCGGTGGCATTTTGACCCCAAAAAAATCACTGCTAGGAATGGACATTACCACACTTGATTCAGATGCTGGATCTGATTTAGATTTTCCACATATGAGACCAGATTTAGATTTTGGGGCAGTCTCATTCCCAAGTGACTATAAGCCCTACCTGGACCAAACTTTCATGGATGATGCATCTAGGGATGTGCACTAACAAACCTGCTTCGGATGCTATATCAGACCTAGATTTTCCACATGAGAGAATTTTAGCAATATTTTAACTAAATTAGCATGGATGATGTATCTAGGGATGAACACTTCCAGACTTTCTTTGGATTCTGAATCTGACTTACATTTTCTAGATGAGTGACCAGGGTAATTTTTTTTTTGGATTAGCTATATAAAATTATGGCCTGTTATGATTAAACTTGCATAGATGGTGCATTTAAGGATGAAACTTCCAGAATTGCCTTGGATGTTGGAACTGACCAAAATTTTCTTGATTAGTAAACAGGTTAAAAGTTTTTTGAGCAGGTCTATTTCCAAGTAACTATAAGTCCTACTTAAACCAAACTTGCATGGATATTGATCTTGGGATGTACCCTAACTAGAAAAAAAATATGATGTGAAATTTGCCTTACATGTAGATAACATTCGTCGAGGTGAGCTTCGTAATCTTTGATTACCTATGTTTTAAAAAATAAATTTCAAATATTCAAAAGTTAAGAAATTTCCACTGAAACTGTATTTGAGTACAATTTTTTTCCCAGATTGAAACAGCAAATGGAGTGATGCAATTTGAAACAATGGCAGAAGTAGACTTTCAGAAAGAAGACTTCAGAAAGGTATTAATGAATACTGGGAAATTTTCACCCTGCTCACAGGTGGGCGAATTAAAAAGGGGGGGGGGGGGGTGACTTAAAAAAAAAATTGTTTAAACAGATCATTTACGTATGTGTTAGCAATTACAGTTACTTCATTGTGTGTATGTGATGGTCATTACAGTCTTTATATAGCATGCACATAACATGTATTTGAAGGTTATTACAGTATTAACCAATAGATGTGATGGTCACTACAGTTATTTGAGTGTATTTGTTAATGTAATGATATTTGGAATGATTACAGCATACACGTACATGTAAATGTGTATTTGATGGTTATTACAGCTACATTGTACTGCACTGCATCGATGGTCATAGATTTACTATAGGATATTTATGTTTGTAATGGTTATTGCAGGCTGTGTTCTGTATGGATCAGTGTCTACAGAAATGTCCAGCATGTATCAAGTTTAAACTGAAGAAAGCAGAGGCATTGGCAATGTTAGGCAGATATCAAGAGGCTCAGGAAATTGCCAAGTAAGTATTAAATGTCATAGAGTAATCTTGTATGTGCAGTACATTTCACACACAATCTTGTTAGAGGAGGGTATACTGTTTTACCTTTGTTTCAGTCAAATGAATATATTTCAGTGTAACCAACTATGGCTGAACTATTGCAGAAAACACTGTTATGAAATTCTATTCAGTAAAGTAGATGTTTAGGGTCAAGTAGCCACATTTTTTTAATACTGTATTACTCAAATGGGTACAGTCCACTAATACATTTCCCATAGGTGACAATGTTAATGTTACAGTCCACTAATACATTTCCCATAGGCGACAATGTTAACGTTACAGTCCACTAATACATTTCTCATAGGCGACAGTGTTAATGTTTTCTCACACAACTCCTTCCCTAATTTTCATTGAAGGATGGTACACCCCTCAAATGAAAGCTCATTAAATTCTCTCTCATTGGTTAAAATCCTGAGGTGGCATGTCAGATTCATTTTCCTGCAAAATGCACATGTTCGCAAAAACAGCTGAAAATGAAAATAAAAATAGGGTAATTTCCAAAGTCAGGGTATGCACATATCAAACAATTCAATTCCCTTCCTTTCAAAGATAACATAAAGCTGAAAATTTCATTTTAGTGAACTACTTTCTTCCCCTACCGATTCTAAAAATAATTAGGGGTATGTACCCAAATATAAGTCTTAATTGTCTTGGGAGCATCACATGTAATTGCAGAAACTTCATTTTCAAAGGCAACGCAACGCAGAGCATTCCCTCATAAAAGAGCACCTCAATCCCAATATAAATTACTTGTGTAACTTCCATTATGCATGCATTGGCCCCCCCCCCCCCCCCCCCCTCCACAAGCATGTTACGATATCCCGACTTCATTGCAAAGGGATAATTAGCATCTGTGCGTGTCCATTGTCCAATATTGAATGTTATAGAAAGCAAAATGTGTACACCATGATATTACTACATATCCAAATATGAAAAAGCACAGATTACCTGATGTAATTACTGAAAATCATAGTCTGTATATTAAATAACATATTGAAGTATCTTCAAAGTATCTGGGAATATCCATATAAAAGTAAAGTCATTATCACTTTATCCATGCAATTTTTACTTTGCAGTGATGTGTTACAAAGAGAAGATCCCATGAACTCAGATGCCTTGTATGTACGGGGATTGTGTCTGTATTACGAGGATATGGTAGACAAAGCCTTCCAACATTTCCAACAGGTTCTGAGGCTAGCACCAGACCACGCCAAGGCAAAAGGAGTCTATAAAGTAGGTCTAATTTTGATATTAGATTCAGCATGTCTTTATTTACATGTATCAACTGTTTCTTTTAGGACAAAACAGAGTTGCTTAGAGATTAACAGAATTTATTATATATTGTAAAAAAAATGAAGGGATGATAATTTTTCTTTATTGAAAATATTTTCTCAAGCTACATGTACATATAGTGTTCCGCTCGACTATTATTTTGAAAGGCTAGATACCCCATGGTCACTCATTTACCAGTATGTTTCCACCATATTTTAAAAAACCAGTCTTCTTTTTTTTTGAATCTGAAAACAAAATTGAGAAAATGTAGATAATTGGGGGGGGGGGGGGGGGGGGGGTGACCACATTTCCTAGAGGAGACTTCATCAATTCAGCTGTGATTTGTGGACATGAAAAAAAAACACTATTAAGGAACTTTTCACTTATTGTAAATGTGGAAAGGTAGATTTACTGTATTTCTGTTTACCAGAATCAAAAGAATTTCCATCTTCTTTGGAATTTTTTTTTTGCTTTTCTCATAATCTTATGTATATTTAAATGTATTTCAAATTTACAAAAAGGTTTCATATAGAATTGATACGCTGTAGTCAAATTACATGTATAAGAAAATTTTTTAGGGTGAAAAAAACCCCAACAACTTGAATACATACATGTAGCTTTTAACAAATAAGGTTCATGGTGTGCATGAAACGGCACTATCTATGTATAGACCAATTAACTGTTACCCTTTGTCCAATTTCAAGCACTGATATAGACTTCATGTTTTCAATTCCTGTAATTCTGCTGAAGTTCTGTGTAATGGAGAACTGGATTTGTAAAAATGGAAGTTTAGTATATTTAGCAAAAAAATCAGAATATCAGCTTAGCTATAAATCCCAAGAATATATCGGTATAATAAACTTTAGAAACAGTTCTATCATAATGTACTCATCATTTTGTGAAATGAGGTTGGTCCCTATTTGAAATATTGAACAGCTTGAAATATTGACCATTTTGGAAGAGATTTTCAAGCATTGGAAATAACTACAAAATTCTTGATGTGTAATACATAAACCAGCAAGAAAATTATGTCTACATTTCCACAAATGATATGACTTCTTTTTGGGCAAAGATCCCAACATTAAAAATATTAAGATTTTTTTTGTAGATATAATGACCTGCTTCGTACTACAGTAAATCTCAAAGTCACTGGGACGTCAATTTTTTGCTTCCTTATAAGCGAGGTTCTTCATATCTCTATAAGGAATACAGTGATAAGCCTTATATGGGAGGGATTTGTAAAAAGTTCTTTGTAGCTGAGGTTTCCTTATACATGTACATGTTAGGAGATTTTTATAACTGAGTTTACTGTCATTATAAGGATTATATTTTTATGGAAAGTTCCCCTGGCCTGAGGCTGCATTTTCCAAACAATCTGTAGGATATGACTTTGTTACTTTAAATGTGTTACAAGGAGGATAAACTTTTTCAGAAAGCAAAGTTACTAAAAGCAAAGAAAGAAGAAGGCAATTCAGAATTCCGTTTAGGAAACTTGGATAAAGCACACGATTTATATACAGAGGCATTAGAGATAGATCCCCTTAACAATTCAACAAACTCCAAGTTATACTTCAACAGAGCAACTGTATCATCCAAGGTAAAGGTTGCAGAAAAGAAATATTCTGTGTTTTTCTTGTTGCATGAATATAAACTAATTATAAAATCTTAATATTTTGTAGTTAAATCAAGTGCAAGATGCCATAAATGACTGCTCAAAAGCAATAGAACTTGATGATTCATATATCAAAGCATATTTAAGGAGGGCAAAATGGTGAGTTTTGTTTTTGACCTATTTATTTTAATTGCTTGTATGTTTCTGTATTCTGTGAATAATTTAGTCCAAGGGCATTATACCTGTATTTATTCTGAAGAAGATGGAAAAATTACTACAGTGTAACATGCTTATAACGAAAGCCAGGTGTGGACAATTTTGCTACATTATAAACATAATTCGTTATATCCGTTAGGTTTATAATATGTTTTAAAGCCTTGGGGAATTAAAACCACTTTGCTACAAGCATGAATTCATCATAACTGTGTTTGCTGTAAGCATGTTTTACTGTATACATACATGTACACATGGTCATAAAGGTTATTTTTAGGAGTTCAACACAGATTCAAAAGTCTTCGCTTTATATATATGCATCATCTATTGTTGAACATATCATGGAGCTAAATGAAGTCCTCCTGAAAACACAGCATTTAAAAATAATTTCCATTTGTAGAAATAAGATCTCTGCAATAATTTAATTGTCAGAAAATGTGAGTTTTAGATGAAAAAAAAGTTCCTCAGCACTTGCCGAAAATCACATTGCTCAGTAGAGAGTAAATTCTAAATAAAAATTTGGGGGGGGGGGGGGGGATTATAAATAATTAAATAACACGTTAAGTCTCGTTTGTTGTATCAGGGATTTTTTTAGAGTCTCTCCGGGGCCGAAATTCGGCCCCATTCCCAATGCTGAAAAGTGTATGTTTTTCCCAAAATCATACCTAAAAATTCCCAATATGAAAAGAAGTATTAAGTTGTAAATTATTAAAATAAAATAATGAAAAAAGGGGTTTATGTTCTCTATGTGCGATGTACGAGCCATCCGAGGACTTCCGAGAAGTTATTCGGAATACTATGGATGTTTGCATGCATACTTTTTAAAGAGGGATCGATGTTTAAAAATTAAAGTCGGGATCGTTATCTAAAAAATAAACGTGCATCATGTCAGTCTCTCCAGTTTGCCTAGGACGGTAATTTTCAGGCTGGGTTGAATCGCTCTTATTCTTATAATTTGGTCAAACAATACCGATTTACCACTCATCTGGAACAAAACCCACTATCAAATATTATTTTAAAGAACTTCTTACATAAATGTACAAAAGATGACAATGTATAAATGTGTTCATTTACAATGTTATCATACCCTGCGGCTTTGTCATTTTTAAGCTTCTGAACGTCAACAGCCCCTATTATTTCATATCACTAAAGCTGGTTTAAGCCAGCTTCATACTATAAAAAATAAGAAAAATGATTAAATATTTGACTTTTGCTTGTTTTTTCATATTTATTTGTATGAAGATATTTTTCCCAATTTCAACCAAATATCGCTATTTTTCCCAATCTTGACGGCCCCGGCCCCTGGAATCAAGGGGTACAAAAAATCCCTGTGTATATACAGTAATGGAGGAAAACAGAAAATGTGCATTCTTGTATAAAGTGAAAAAGTCAGATATTTATTTTCAGTATTAATTAAATGCTGTTGAACATACTTGACATCTTTAATGAATATTTTTTATATCTTGATACTTATATTATGATCAATATCTATTTATATTTGTAAATAAAAGAACTACATGAATTTCTACACTATTCTTGGAAATGTATTTTATCAGAACTTGATTATGTTTCAGTTACATGGACTTAGAACAGTATGAGGAAGCTGTCAGAGATTACGAAAAAGTCTATAAAAATGATAAATCAAGAGGTAAGAGTAGAGGAAACATAATGTGTATGTAATTAGTTTATTTAGATATGCCATGTCTGTCTGAGTTGTCTTACTTGTAGTGTTCTCCACAGTCATAGTATAGGGTGATATACTGTAAATAGGAAATATCTTCATAATCAAATTGTGAGTTAATTTGGAAGTGCAAATATTCCAATCCTGAATTTCTTGTAAACAAATTTTATAAATGTAAAGAATAGAAATTCTAAATAAAAATTTTATATGGCTGAAATGTTGCTTTGTTAGCAAGCTTTATTTGCATACTGTAAAAGCAGAAATATTCATTGGGGATTAAATTTCATTCATTTCATTGTTAACAATTATCAACGAAATTAAATCCCACACAAAATTTTTGTTTGACTATATATTGAATAGGGTTACTTTCGAAACAACGTAATTTAAAGCCCACTAAACCTTTTTAGATGACAAATCAATGAAATTTTATCCCCACAAAAATTTGTGCTTCTACAGTATTAAAGAGGAAAACTTCATGATTTTGGGATCATGCAGTAACTTTTCCACAATATTGGACCATTATTTGCCTGATTAGTTCATATGGCATATGTTGGCAAATACCCTTGGAGTCTTCACTCAGAATTACATTCTCAAGCTTGTAAATTGGAAAAGGCAAAAAGAAGTCCGTGTTATGTGTAAAATTCAGATGGTATTCAAAAGTGAAATATTAAGGATGTATGCCAATATTTTTCTTCTTTCTGTCTGAAAGAGTAGAACTTTAAATACATGTAGTTTGAATACTTCGAGAAGAATAAGTTATCATGTTAACGATCCAATTTTCATTTATATTGATTTTTACTTCAGAAAACAAGAGACTTCTTCAAGATGCAAAGCTTGAACTGAAAAAGAGCAAAAGAAAAGATTATTACAAAATTCTTGGTGTCTCCAAAACTGCTTCTGTGGATGAAATTAAGAAGGCATACAGAAAGCGGGCATTAATCCATCACCCTGGTAATATCAGCAACACAGTTTTCATAAGAGTATTAGAGTAATGATGAATCATGAAAAATGGTAGCTTGTAATTTTGTATTGTGTAATTTAAAATTTGTTGATGCAAAAATCCAGCAAAACAATGTTGATTTATGCTTAATTTTCAGATCGACACAGTCATGATACACCCGAAAAACAAAAGGAGGAAGAACGGAAGTTTAAGGAGGTTGGAGAGGCCTACTCTGTTTTATCTGACTCTCGTAAGAAAGACAGATATGACAGTGGTGCAGATCTTGATGACTTAGAAGGACCTGGTGGATTTGGTACGATAAAATAAACATCATTTCACTGGAAATTTTAAACAATTTACTTATTAATCAGTAGTTGTTAATAATATTTTCTACCACAAACCAATTTTTGTTCAAGCATTAGAAATTTATCTTCTGTTTGAACCCCCACCCCGAAAAAAAAAGAAGTGGAAAATATTTTCGGCTAGGCAATATCAGATGAACAATTTTTTTTCTTCGAATTCTTGCATTGTGAATTGAGGAATTAGGAGAAAAAAGAAAATCCATCATCGGTGTATTGAGTTTATTGTTAACTTTTAAACCTACCTTGCATCACATTTTAATGACCTTCTTAGACTTTGATTGCTAGTTTACTACTATTAAGTACTAGTGTTGTAGTATATATTAAATGTAGCTTCAGCCAAGGCATACAGCTTCTATCCAACTTGCATTTCTCAATTTTAACTAGAACTATGCATGTATTTTCCATTACATTTTTAACAATGCATTTATTTAAGTAAATTGACGGGAGAACTAAAAATTTGATTGAAAGTCATGGTTTTATAGTGTCCAAATTATTGAAAGATATTTAAAAATTGGAAGGGTTTTAAGTACCCTCTCTACACCAGTGCAAAATGTTTTTTGGACATCGAGAAAAATATTTTGAATAAAGATGTAAATAATGAGCTTATCTATTTAATTTTTCAATATATGGTACGTGGCATTTACCCCCAGGAAAAAATGTTCAAACACAACACAGTATCAGTGAACAGAAATCACTGCTGTTTACTTCCATGGAGAAAATACAAGTAAATAACATGTTCAATTAATTTATCTTGGCCTTTTAAAATGTTAAGAATACTTGAATTGATAACAGATTGAGTAATATACTGTAAATTTCTATTTATTGGAATTTAGATCTAAGGGCAGATCACTCCAACTGCAAAAAAATACCATAGAATCAGAACTCTTTAGTGTGCAGTGTAGAGAGGGTTCTTAAGTGCCCTCATGTTTTTGTCCCCCACTTTTGTAAAAGCGAGGGGACATTAAATCTTATTTGTCTGTCAGTCTGTAACAAAAATTAAACCTTGGGCAGAACTTTTGAATGAGAAGAGATAAGACTTTCATATTTCACATGTTCATTACCTGTGACAAGACCTCCAAATGTACTATGATTTTTGACCTTTTTACCTTGACCTTGAAGTTTCACCTACTTTTCAAAAATTTAAACATTTGTGATAACTTTTGAATGAGAGAAGATTAGGGCATTCTTATTTGACATGTACATTACTGGTGAGAGGACCTTTACAAATATTAAGTAGTCATATTTCCATGTGGGTTTAATTTATGCTATGTAATTTTATTCTGCGGAAATTTGTCATGGTGCACTTAAAGTGCATCTTCGACATACAGTGGCAATCCAAAGAACCTGTGTAATCTACCTGTGGATTGGAAAGAAATTATGATTCCACAGAATCATGACCCTGTGGAAAAAAGTATGTTTACAGTATATGATTTTTGACCCCGTGACCTTGACCTGGAAGTTTGACATACCTTTCAAAATTTTTAACTTTGGTGATAACTTTTGAATGAGAAAAAATAGGGTGTTCTTATTTGACATGTGCAGTACCTGTGACAAGACTTTTCTGAATGTAGTATTACTACTATGGTTTTTGACCTTGTGACCATAACCTTCAAGTTTAACCTTCAAAACTTTTAACATTGGTAATAACTTTACCTTCTGAATGAGAGAAGACATGGTTTTCGTATTTTACATGTGACAACACCTTTCAGAAAGAACTTTTTTTTTTCATTTCATGACCTTGACCTAGAAGTTTGACCTACTTATCAAATATTTTACTTTTGCTATAGAAGAGATGGGGCTTTCATATTTTTTTTTCACATGTGCTTTACTTGTGATGAGACCTTTTGGATTGTATTATAATATTGACCTCATGACCTTGATCTTGAAGTTTGATGCAGTTTTAAAAAACTTTAATCTTTGCTGTAAGTTGTATTGATTCAAAAATTTAAATCTTTTTTGTATGATGGACAGACAAGACAGTATCAATTTGCCATAAATAATTACATCCATTGCAACCCACGAAGACACTGAAAGCTGGGGAACACAATTCCTTGAATTTGCTTGTTACCATTCATATTCTCAAAGGATTAGTCTGACAACTAAATGTTGCCTGGTTATTATCTGTATGTTTATTATTTATTTTGCAGACCATGTGGATCCCAATGTGATATTCCAGACCTTCTTTGGTGGTGGTGGAGGTTTTGGTGGTGGGGGTGGCTTCCCTGGTGGTTTCTCTTTCCAGTTTGGATGATCATGTTTTCACAACTGCAGACAAGGGATTATGATTATGTACCGGTACACAGAGAATCTGCCACCCCGCCATACACACCTTCATAGAAATATAGGTCAGACTGGCATATTAAGACCTTGATCAGGAATTGTTATAGAAATCATTCTGACAGTGTGTTTCATTGTAATTCATGTGTTAATTCACTAGGATTCATTATCCTTTAAGGAACAGCCTTTTCTAGATTCAGCTCATTTTGCCAAGACTAGGATTGTAAATTGCTCACTTTTGTGATCTGTCTCCAATTCATGTTTTTTTTTTTTTGGTTTTGTTTTTTTAATTTTTTTATTAAAAAAAAATGTTGGTATCAACTAAATATGCAGTTTGTCATATATGTATCTTCAGATTGTAGAGCAATTCTGAAAGAAAGACTGCAGTTTCATATTTATTATTTGTGGCTTGCAATCATCTAATCTGATCTGCTTTATCTCCCTTGCCTTGCATTGTAAGATGTTATCTATTATACAATGTACAGTCTGTGTATGCTGGGCTCTGTGAGACCCAATCCTGGACACAGGACATTATTAACTCTCAGTAGACATTGTACACTGAACTTGATGATGTTTTATGTTTTTTTAAACATAATATGGAGTACTAGAAAAGATTTCAGGAAATCATATTTTAATCATTGCATGTTAGTTTCAAACTGTTTTATATTCAGCGATTTACTGATTTCTTGGAAAATATTCCATATTATTGCTTTACCCATAATACAAAAAGTACATATGTAACAAAGTTATTTTATGGTGTTCACTGTCTTTGCTCCTTGAAGTATCCATCATTCTTAAGGTTTTGTTACAAGTTGGGAATAAGTAGAAATGAGAGAGAGAGAGAGTAAAAATGAACATGTCCATCTGTTGTGAAGTTACTAGGTGAATGCTGTGATTATTGGCATGTTTTTTGTTCATACAGTATTTATGTAATGTAAATCTGAGTTGTGTCAACAGGTCTAATAAAAGATCTCCTTTGTCTACATCATTTCTTTTTTTTTTTTTAAGCAAGAATGATTGAGATAGTTCACTCATATTGGGCGCGCTTGATTTACTTACACTGCTTACACCGTGTACACCTTTCTTAATCAAGTGCAGGGGTGTAGACTTTTGGTGTACACTAGGTGTACACTTTCTTACACCAAATTTAGGGCATGTGTTGAAAGGTGTACACTGAATCCAGTATTGCGGAGAATGGTACGATTGAAAATTTAAGAAATGGTTTTGTGTAATATAAAGGATAAGAAATCACATTCAAGTTGTCTTTTGTGTGTAAGTGATGACATTTAAATCATTTTTTGACCATTTTAAATAATTTAGTCAATTATTTCTGTTTTTTAATTTTTTTTTTCACTTTAAGGACATACGCAACGTACCTTACCTACTGATAATTTTTCAAGATATTCTTAATTTAAGATTATAGTACGTGCCATCAGATGTTCGTAGACAAAAAGCCAGCATGTATTACCAGGGGTTTGAAAATATATCAATTGATGAAAATTCTTGTGTAATTAAAACACAAATATACAAAAATTACCAAACATATATTCTAGATGTTTTATTTATCCAAACTTGTTTTAGAAGAAGTGTACTGCAGCATATATAGACATTAAAATGTAGCACACAGTTCCTTTAAGAATTGGAACTCTTCAACTTTAGGGAAAAAGACAGTAAAGTTCAAACTACGTTGCGTATGTCTTAAACAAAAAATTTTTGTCACACACTGGCGAGATACAAAACATATACTACACCATATACACTACACCTCGTAAAATGCACTTGATTATACACCACCATCTTTCACACCGGTGTATACTGGTGTACACCAAGTTAAGCTAAATCAAGCATGCCCACTGTGTGCAGGTTTGATTTTGTACATGGCTATGTTCACTCTCAAGTTTTTTTTTTAAATTTCAGATTTTTAATTCACAATTTTTGTTTCTTTTTTTATGCCCCCTTTTGAAAAGGTTTGCACCTGTTGACCAGTCGATATCCCATTTTTTGTCCACTTAATATCTTATAAACCCATTGCTTGATAGACATCAAACTTGGTACACTGGTACCTCCTTACAAGTACTTAAGATGACCTCCATTGATTTTTAGGTCACAAGGTTGAGGATCCAAGGTCAAAGTACTCGGATAATAAGAAGATACTGGTATTGTCACCTTTGCTTGACAGACATCAATCTTGGTACACCCTTTTGATTTTGAGGTCACAAGGTTAAAGGTCAAACTACATTGAAAATATGAAGATATTATCCTTTCAAAGTGATTAGAACTCTTTTCCAGCTTGAGATCAAATAGTATTTTGTTGCCTTAGCACCAGAATTACAAACCCATATTTTTCACTACCATAACAGACATGTATTCTAAATTTATGATCCTTTATATTTGCCAAGGGGGATGTGGGGTATATATTTTTTTTAAAACATTTCTTGTTTTTGTTTAGATACTAGATTTGTTGTAGCTACCAGGACTTTGTTACCTATCAGTATGAAAAGGGGGGATATATAAACAGTACACAGAATAAGAAAACCAAGTTAAAGGCTGCATCTCAGTTTATTTGTTTCATCCTGAAGTATGAAACATTTTACTTCTTCTTTGGAAGAAATCCCACCAGTGAATCCAGGAGTTTTCCTTCTATCTGAAATTCATCGATAAACAATGAAGTTGATCTCATGACAAATGGAAAAAAGGCCCATGAGCCTTGATGGTCACCTGAGATTCTGAATTCATTAGGCAATGACTACTTTGTCCCCACCTAGAATTTGAACTTGCAACAAAAATTTACAGTTTTGTAAGGACTCTGTAATTATCATGTTCATGCATCTTGTCTCCTTAAAGGTCAGGTGTAAAGAAGATAAAATATGCTATATTATATAATTCAATTTATAATCCAACTTAACCTCGCCCTGGGGCCAGGCCCCCAAAACTGAATTTTAAAAGTTAGGTAGAGGGTAAACTTCCCATTATATTCATGCAAACAATTGCAAATTGTCCATGAAGGATATTTTCAAAGATGTGTTTTAATATGTCCAAGTAAGCCCCACCTTTGGGCCTGAACCATACAACTGGTGCTATGAATTTCAAATTTTGGGTAAAAGTGTGAGTACTCATTAAAATCAGGCAAACAGTTAACCTGCTAGATACATGTGTCTGTAAATCAAGGAAAATTTAAAAGATGCATTTTCAATATATGACAAACCGCCTCATCCTGGCACCTGAACTCAGGGGCCATCATTTTCATTATTTTGATAAAGGGCTCATTCTTATAATCATCCCAAATGATTGACTGTTTGATGAGTAAAGATTTGCTTTAATTTTAATGGTTTTGGCCACAACCCTCAGGCAAGGACTTGTTGATTTTTGTTTCCATTTACTCATAAATGCCATATAGATCTACCAATATTGGTTGCTGAGAAGGAGATGGAAATGTTCAAAAGTTTATGACCAAAACACAAACGCAGATAGAAATGGGTCACTTGGAACAACTCAGGTGTCTATTAAATGCCAACCCCCCCCCCCCCCCCCCCCAAAAAAAAAAAAACCTAAAATGTTAACATCTTACAGTTAATATTATTACAGCCTTTAATTTTTATTCATTGATTTAATAGAGCAATGATTATATAATTTTCAATAATAATAGTTAATACATGTACATGTACTTACCTCTTGAAAATCACGACAAAATGTTCCATGGACCTCAAAAAAATTCCGAAAGTGGTCAGTTATGAATTGTCTCTGCCTACAAAATAGTTTCTTATAACTTGATCTTTCCGCAAAAAAAAAAAAAAAAACCAAAAACAAAAAAAAAAAAACAAAAAAAAAACAATCAATTGGTCATGCACATTTTCATACTGGGGCAGTCAATTGTCTGTGACTGGGCTGACAAATTTTATACCCCCCCCCCCCCGAAAAAAAAATAATGATAAAGAACATATATCTATATTTGAATAAGCCCGGGAACCTAGCGATTTTTCCTATATTCTCAAAAATGTCACTATTTTTCCTAATTCTGATGTCCCCGGCCTCAGTACCAAAAAAGTGCTGTGAGAGCCCAGCAGTATCTTGAACTGTCAAAATTAGATGTTATCTAATAGAGTGAAATGTTTATATTCATAAAATGGGATATTAAATACATAAAAATAATGCAGAGGAGGTTAAGAGTCCTAAATGTAAAAAAAAAAAAATATATTAAACTGATTTACATTCTACAGAGATTGTTCACATCTATTTCCAGTTTTTTCCTCATTTCTCTCAATTCTCGCTCTTTCTGTGTGCACATCTTCGTAAACTGAAACCAAATAGTAATATTAGACATAAACAAAACATTGTTTCTAGTTAATTCAAAATTTGCAATAATATTTTAAAATAAATTTTAAACGAAGCTTGATGCTAAGTTCTGTAAGTAAAGAATAAGAGAGGTACTTTTTTCAGGACTCGGAATAAACCAAACCAAAATATAAGAAATAATTCAGGGTAAGGAATAAAATACGCTAACTTTTTTTCCCTCTCAATATGATTGTATATATATTAGGGATGGCAATTTGTAACCGGTTAACCGGTTACTCGGTCGGAACGATGGTAATCGGTTAGAAAATCTGTAATCGGTTAGTCGGAAAAAATAAAAATACGTTTAAACTTTCTTAAAACTCGATTCACAATGTTATAAAACTCTCTAAATATTGATAAGTAATGACGTTTTCAAATTTAATTCGGCTGATTTGGAGGTAAATAATTAAGACTCTCAAGATTGAAATGTTTGGGGTAATTGGTCACTCTGGGAAGTGTTAATTGCTGTTTATTTAAAACACCATGTCGTTACCCAGACTGTCCAAATTTTCTTTAATGATATTAATTAAATCTTTGTTGAGTTCTATTAAATGATTTAAGTGGTTTCAATGTGTATCTTGCCCCGTCTAACCTTCGCAGTTAACTGTCAAATTATATTTTTAAACAAACATTATAAATTAAGTGACAGCTCAGACTCAGTTTCTGCTTTTGGTGACAATGCACAATGACGTGTTGTAACATTATCAATTTCTTTGATATCTAGGAAATGTTTCATGGTTTCCTTAATACTATCATTAATAATATTATTATTATTATTTTTTTTTTTTGCCTTTCGAAATTGAAGTGAAATATGTAAAGCGTACTAATACAACTGTAAAAGAATATTACTGACGTATTTTTTTCAGTTTTCTTGTGTATATACCTGGTGTTTACTTGAAAAATAAAGTATCAGGAAAATGTGTATTTTGATACGATTAACCGATTAATCGGTCGGAACGTCTTGCGGTTAACCGATTAGCATTTCTGTATTCGATTGCCATCCCTAATATATATCGTTGGCTGGGACTTTATTCTGATACGCTGCGGTAATTGGAAGTAGTTCAAGTTTAAGTATTCTAGTTAACATAATAACAGTAGCTGAAACATTTACATGTCGATACCTTTTCTTTTTCAGCTTGAGACTTCTGTTTGTTCTTCTTCATTTTCTGCAAAAGAACGGGAAAGAAGATAATATCTAAGTCAAACATGAATAAGAGGAAAATAATTTTAGTGTTCTTTCAAAAATATCAACTGCTGCACGAGGTTTTATACAGGTGTGCTGAGAGAAATGACTTATAAAACTACAAAATCTTATTCCGATCATTTTTGTCAGAGATTTTTTTTTCACATCAAATTGCACATTTTTCTCTAATTAACGTGAAATTAATTTTTGTAAGTGCCACACTATCGGATAGGTAAAATCAAACATTTTATTTTCAGTGGCGAGCATAACTATAAATCTTTTAATTTGTTTCACGGTCATTTCCATTTCCTTATGAAGTGAATCATGCAGTCACAACTCCACACCCAATACAGGAATATATAGTTTTTGGTTTTAGATAAACAAATTTCTAATTTTGCATTTCAAACAGTATTGAAGTATGTATATGACACGATTTATGGCATGTACAATTATTTGAAAAGAACCAAAATTCTAAAGCACATGCACTCTGAAATTTAAAAAAAATTTTTTTTTATTTTTTCATATTGAACACGTCATAATCTACATGAAAACAAAATTAATCCCCCCTCAAAGAAGTTGGAGTATATATAATCGTGATGGTGGCGGTTGGGAGGGGGGGGGGTAGTCCTGTCCATCTGTGCATCAACATACGAAGAATGAGCTTTTATATCGAGCATAAATTTCGCTAAATCAGTTTTTAAAAAAGAGAAAAGAAAAGAGAAATATTCTTTGAAAATCAGCTCAACGGGCATCTGTTTGAAACACAACGTGGTTTATCGTAAAGTTCTGTGATGATAATAATAATAATAATAATAATATATATATATGTCACATATAATAATAAAAATAATAATATAATAATAATAATTCTCTCTAAGAGTAACGCCTACTTACCTCACCTTCACGTCGGTAATGACGTAATGCTTGACTTCCTTCCTCAATTTTAACTCGCAAATCCTACAAAACGTATGTTTTAGCCCGGCATTTATTATAGTATAATAACCATCAAATATAATCAGAAATACAATTCTCTATGTCAAAACATACACCGCCTATATACATGCATAAATAGGATGAGTGTTCTACCCCCCATCCCCTCCCACCCAACCCCCCTCTTTCCAATTTTTCGAAAGGGAATATATCTCGTTTTTAATATATCCTAGAAGAAAGGGATTCTATGATAACGTTTATAAGATAGATCTACCGCAATACTTGCAGGTCGGGTGCCCACAGAATTCTAAAAGATGAAATACATATACATTGTATAGCAATGGCGTAAATCCATATACTTTTCTTTGACAAGGGGGGGGGGGGGGCGTTAAGGGAGTCGTCTATCATGTGAAATTGAAGGAAACAGAAATAATTTAAACTGTCATATTTTGTTTTTTTACATTATGAATTAAATAATTCTACAAAAGCCCATTGAGCTCATTTTCGTAGATAAAAAAATATATATTTTTCGCGTTATATCGCGAAACTTTCGCGAATAAACGCGTAACTTTCGCGTTATAACGCGAAACTTTCCCTGTAAAACAGAGACATTTGCATAAGTCTACAGTTTGTTTTACTTTTTAATGATCTAGTTTATTCATTACAGTGAAAAACGAAAGACTATTTTGAACTTGGATTATCACGAGCTGAAATTTTATGTTTTCTCGCCATTGAATGTGTCTTTCCTCTTTCTAAATCTTTTTTGCCGTCACATTTTGTCTTTCTCAATACTGTTCAATACAAGTGTTGAAGCGTATAGTAGAGGAGCGAAAATACAAGTCTAACTTTAATTAGATTGAACACTCTATATAGAATTTGAAATAAAAGATCTCAGAAAATTGGCAACAATGAGGTAAATTTGTATTTCACGGAACAATTGTGTCACATCACATGAGTAACCTAATGTGAAAATTGGATGACAAATATTCGTATCAAATATTTCATCTCCGATAGACTCACTGAAGAAATACAACATTGTATTTTAAGGTTGCACCATTTGGTCATACCATTACTTACGAAAACATTGACAATTTATTCAAAGAAAGCAACGAGTGGAGATCTTCCTGAGAAAAAAAAATTAGTCTACAGAATTTCTTGGATTCAACAAGTGAAAAACAAGAAAATCTTTAAAGGAATATTCATTTAATTAATTAGTAGGGTTTTGAGATTAAATGCAAAATCAACACTAATCTATCCATTTCTCGCATCAATTCTCTTTTACATCTTCTGAAGAAATGTCATTTATAAATTCATAGAAGTCCCCCTCTGCGTTCATGTTTTTTTATCTGTCAGTCAAGATCACAGATTCCTGAGTAACATGACTATATATGTATAATTTCGCGTTATAACGCGAAAGTTTCGCGTTTATTCGCGAAAGTTACGCGTTATAACGCGAAAGTTACGCGTTTATTCGCGAAAGTTTCGCGTTATAACGCGAAAAATATATTTTTGTTACCTACGAAAATGAGCTCAATGGGCTTTCGTATAATTCAAAAGTGTTCAAGTCTTCCAAAAAGAATAAGTCGTTTAATATCCTTTTTTTTTATTAGAGTAATATGACAAGAAATATTATCAAAATGATTATTTTTTGTTGTTGTTGTTGTAAATTTACGGAGATGAAATACAAGAAAATTATGACTTCACAAAGCGCACCATTCTATATCAATAACTACATCAACTTAAATCCATTTTTCCTCAAGTCATCTCTCATAATTGTACTCGTATGCATCTAGTTGATCATATACCCAGGAAAGAAATAACAAGTTATAGTGTTTACTCAGTTTTTCTTGATTCTTTTTAAAAAAAAATAATAATTAAAAAAAAATAAACAAAACAAAACAGGAATATGAATTACGTATGTACTACTGGATAGATTAATAAATGTACAAAAAATTTTTTTTTATAAACTACATTAAAGTTATCATTTTTTCAGTGATTGTTAACTTACTAAGATGACGTAGAACTTGTCTGCGAAGTCTTGGAACCCGTCTCCGAGTTTACTAACATCCTTTTCCAGTAAATCCCACAAGTCGTCCAAATCCTGGAACAAAAGCCAATGTCACAAAGAGGTATCGTGAGATAAATTTGTCCAATACAAAAAAAAAATATATTTAGTAGGTAATTTATTAGGAAGGATGTCGGGTGGGGTTGTTTGTGGGATAAGATCATAGAATATTTATTGTATTCAACAAAAAATTCATACCCAACATTCAAGTAGTTAATTTTTATTTTATTATATCCATTAGTATTCGTATAAAAAAACAATTACGCACATTTTATGTTTGAAGGAACTGCGCAGATCCAGGATTTTTTTTTCCTGGGGGTAGGTGGGATATATATATATATATATATATATATATATATATATATATATATATATATATATATATATATATATATATATATATATATATATATATATATATATATATATATATATTAAAATGTTTCTAACTCGGAATTGTTTTTACCAAAAAAAATTTTTGGGGGGTTGGTGTTGGGGGGGGATAAGTCACTTTTCTGAGTCAATTTTCTTCATATACTTGACTCCCCTTACCATTTAACAAGGGTCCGTGTTTCCGGGGGTGGGGGTGGGGGGCAAGATCATTGATTGCATAAAAATTTAATAACTGAAAATCTCAAGGGGGGGGGTCCGTACCTCCCCCCCTTTAGATCAGCGCATGAAGAATATATCAAAAATAAATCAAAGCACTGTGGAAACTGTAAAGAAACATTTTAAAAACCAAAAAGACAGTCAGAGTAACGTTTCCAAGTGTTACACAAAGTAAGAATAAAGTTCATAATGTTTAAGAAATTAAGGGGGAGGGGTAGGGGTGGAAAGATTTCCATTTCACTTTCGCTAATACCTGGATTTTTATATCTATATGATATTGGAATAAAAATATTTTTTTCTATCAAATTTGATTGTTATGAAGAAAAAAAAATCACAAATTCCATTGAAATATGTGAATAAGTTTATTTTTTAAAAGCTTTGATTTTATGTATAGTCTCCATATCTAATTGTAAAAAGAAAAAGAATAAAAGATTCTAATCTGATTAAAATCAATTTCTTTGCTACGCTCCGAAATTTTGATAGTCTTTGCACAGCGACTATCAGAATTTTGGAGTGTAACAATAAAAGATTTGATTTTAATCAGATTGAAAAGAAAGATTCATTTAAGATTTTAAACTATAAAGTAACATAACAAAATAATTATTAATTTTATGCAAAAATATTTAATTAAAAGTTCAATACCTTCTGAAGTACATGTGTATCAACTAAATATACTTTTCCACATATGTATAATACTTTAATACATGTATTTACAAAGATTTTATTAAAATCGCATGGTCAAGAACAAACTATCTAAAAAAATTCTATTCTTAGTAACATGTATACTGATAAAATATTTATTGATTGTTGTAAAAATAAATGATTAGCAATTGTAATATGAATTCCAATTTTATCACCTTACTATATGAAAAGCCACTAAGTCGAAATGCAAGGGAATTTAGTTCCTAGCTACCCTTAATTCTCAGCTGAGGCAAAGTAAAAATAAGATGATAAAATCGATAAAAGTGGCTTTTATGTCTTGTAGTTTTCTTTTCTCTAAAGTCTGAAATGGGGTGTACTTTTTAAAATAGAATATTTAAAGAGTTAAATGTAGTAAAAATATATCCGGAGGGAAGGGGTTGGGATTATCCAAATTTTGCATACGCGGATTCAAATAATTATGTTAAACATTATGTTTGTGTCAGTCAGATTTTTTTATGTAAATGAAAAATCATAGATCCGAACTATAAAACAAAGATTAAAACTGCATGTTTTATATATTTTGTGTTGATCTCTTCGCGAAATGTTATAATGTACAGGCCCGTAGAACGCGGGGGCGCCCCCCCCACTTTTTTCTGAGTATATTATTTTGCTATAGCAAATTTTCCCTTAGATGCTGGTTGGCTCACCCACTTTTTGATGTTGTAAGGTCGAGTAATTCTAGGATTTGTACAGTAAATTAGCTTTTTTTTGCTTGTTTTTTTTTTTTTTTGGAAATTTGCCCCCCTTCTTTTGGTAAGTTTCGTTTTTTTTTTTTTGTTTTTTTTTTTTTTGGCTTGTCAGATTTTTAGGGAAGTTGCCCCCCCCCCCCATCCCTTTTGAAACCGTTGCTATACGGGCCTGATGTATGAATACTCAAAGTCGTTAAAACATTGCTGCAGTGCTGGATTATACCTGGAGGAGGGATCTGAAATAATCCATCCCTGGCCAATAAGTGCCACAAAAGAGCAGAAGGGCGTTGTTTACACCAGACATCCCTCGCTTCATGGCAGAGATTGTGGACAAGTAGGCATCCATTTTCTTGGCTAATACTTGAAACGCATTCTGGAAGTAAAGCGTCGAACATATTTGTAACGTTCATAGTTATGGCTGAACTGAAAACATATCGATGCACGAATGAAAATTTATAATTAAAGAAATTTTTAATTACCACTTGGGTGTAGAATTCAACTACCATGTCCTCTGGCGAGATATCCTCTTTATCCATCTATAAGAAATAACTCAAATGAAATATTCAGAAAAAGGTATTGAAAATTCAATGATTTGCAACATTTTATAAATTGGATCTTACCCTATGGTGTTGTGTCGGATACTTTGTGACGTCATAGAAGTCAGCGTCACAATCTCCGGAATTAAGAATTCCATTTCAGATCAGATGCTTTTACGATTACTTTGAGCTGAAGAGATCCGGTGTAAAACGATGTTGGAGAGACATGACGTGTTGCAGCAGTTGCAGATTGTATATAGTTTGCTCAAGCTATCAGTGCTATAGTTTAATTTGCATTGTATGTTGATATTCAGTTGCTGAGCATTTGTCCTGAACTCTTACTTGCCTGCATGGGAAAAATTATTAGTCATCGTCTGCTTTTCGCACCTGTCGCACGCAATCAATATTACAACCAATCAAACAACCCCTTCTATTCTAGTGCGGGACAGTCTCGGTCGAATTTCTATTTTTACTGACATACCTTTACGGTAGCACAAGTTCGATAACCAGATTTTTATTTAAATTCTACCTGGACCGGTTTGTGGATAGTAAGTACAAATTCTTTATCTATTGATTTTATTTATCCCCTTTGAATGTATTTTTATGAACCTTATTGTGTGTAACATGCAGTAATATCTGTCACTAAAGCATGCCGTATATTCAAAACTGTGAACCTGGCTGTGTGTAATGTTTACAGTTACACTATGGTACATAAGCGATGCTAGTCACGCCTGTGTGTGTCCAGTGTGTCCTCTATTAATTATGTACATTTCTTAGTGCAGCATCAGTAATTTCATTACATCCAACACTTGCGCTAGTCCTGCGGGTTGTCAGAAGGGATGAGAAGTGTGTCTCTTTTCTAAACATTTCTACCAACAACACACCCAGTAACACAGTTATGTGCAGCAGAATTTGTTAATGTACCTGTGGGAGTATTTTGAAATAACTTGAAAGACACACCAATTCTTCATTTCTTGTCATGTCTTGTATAAATCCTAGACTATTTACCTCCAAATTCTAAAAATTGTTCCAGGCAGAATCAATACAGTGCTATATAATTTTCACATGTAAGAAATTTGCATATTGCTTATTTTGCACTTATTCTCTTCATGTATTCATGGGTTAATTGCAGTCTTAATGTTTGTATGACAGAGCTGAGAGAACTTTCAAAACAGCTACAAACACTTGAAGGCATAATATGTAGATCAAATTAATAATTTCATCAGAAAAATTTGCCAAATTTCACAATTATTCTTTATGACAGTTTGTTTTATAAGAGGTGTTTGAAGCAGCTATGACTGCCCCGTTCCACTTCTTATAAATCTTCCAAAATATATCTTTTATGACAAAGAATTACAATTTGTAAATGAATTTATTTTTCTAGTAAAGCATAATGATACTCTTTCAATTGCCTTAAAAAAATTAAGGGATATAGCGTTCGAGATAGATCTCTTTTTATTGGCTATATAATGAACAGTTATGATTAACATGACATATATATACCACTGGTTTATTACTTATGAAAAGAAGACAAATAACAGATGACTCAATCAGTCATCTTGTTTCTGTAAACCAAGAAACAGCTTATGTCCATTTACAAAAAAATGTCACACTTTGTATAATAGTCACAGTGGAAAAGTCATTTCATTTGCTTTTTTGTTACTTTGAAAGTTGTTGTTAAGCTCAGGTCTGATAAAATGGGTTTATAAGACAAATTCTGACAGTACAGGAAATTAGTTTAGTCAACAAATAATATATTGCACAGGGAATTATTTAATTATATTGTTTCAGGTGCTTATTTACATGGTATGGTATTTATGTTGATTTGAACTACAATGAAAATACTAGTAGTCTAAAAAAGCATGTCACCTGTGGTTCAAAAAGTACTTTGAATGTTTTGGAATTTGTTAAATGTCATGTCGAAGGTGTTGCAGTAGATGAGTTGGATAACTGAGGATGTATATGATGTTAGGGTGCAAAACAGACCGGTTTCAATGTGTCAGTAATTGCAAATTCATATGAACCAATTAATGTATATTTTGTAAATTCTTTGTAAATGATAGTGTTACCCAAGTCTCTTAAATATCTTAATTACATTGCATGTCTTTCTGCTTGATCCATTTACAGATTCCAAATATATATAACACTATAGCTCTTAATTAGAATAGAAGGGTCTCTAAAAATACATGTACTGACATTTAAAATATTTTTATAGGACGGTTAAAATCCTCCTTGTGATCTAGAAAAGAAAATCAATTTTGGCATGTCTGTGTAATAATTACTAATCTCTTTTTATCAGATAGTGCATTCACCTTAATCTGAGAAATTGAAGACATAACACTATAAACTTAACATTTTTGCTATCTACACTAAAACCACAGTAAGCCTAAAGGTAGAATACATCATATGTGTAACAGAATATTCTGTTCCACATACAATGTATATGTATACAAAGATATGTTTAGTGTAAAGGTTTAATTTTCTTTTATCTTTGCTTCAGTTTTATTAAACTCATGATGAATGATTTTCCAATATTTTAGATATATTGATACAAAAAGTTAATAGCCTTAGGAGAAATTTAATGAATCAGAGTGATTTCAATGTTAGATAAATAGCATGAAGTCTGACTAAATGTGATTTCTTATGTGCTGAAAAGAATAATAGGCGTACTTATACATGTATCAGTCGTAAAAGTATTCTCATAAAGCTTTCAGGTGACTAAACATGAATGAAGTTCCTTGTGTTGGATTGAATATGTGGACAAAAATTATGTTTGAGGTATATGACTAAAAAATAATGGTCTTCTGTCAAGTGTCAATGTTTGCCATGATTCAACTCCCTAAACTTTGATGATAGTGTGTTGTACTTCATGAAGAAAGTTTGTTTTCCATGGAGACAGTAAATTTGATGATGAAATGTGCATCTTTTATTCCTTTTAACCTAAGTTTTAAAAAAGTACTTGGTATCAGATGATTTTCAGTACACTGTATAACCTATATTCATTTTATACATGCAAAAAAAAGATAGTATAGAACACTGAACTAGGTTTCCTAATGTCATGAAGTATTTAAATAGAATTCAAAATGTAAAGTGAACTGCATCCTTGTATTTTGTGAAATTAATTCTTATATTCAAAATATTTCTTCAAAAAGAAAAAAAGTATGAGAACATGCAGAATCCTTATTTGTTATTAAGATGTGAAAAAGATTTTTGACATTGAAGGGAATTTTTAAGTTCCTTTATTACTTTATCCTTACTATATTACTCTATCCTTTATAGTGGACAGTAAGCCTCTCGGATATCCACAGGGGTGCGGGCTTTAAACTTGTTCAATCATCTTGCACTTGTGTACTGTTATGACATGTTATGTTTATTCTAGCTATTGTGTGCCAGAATAAAGTTTTTGTCAACTTTAAAGACAGTTACAACATTCCCTATTTGGTCTAGTCACAAGATAATCTCGGATTATTTCTTTTATAGGGTCATTGTGGCTATTACAAAATAGGATGGATGTATCCAATTTGCCAAAGATATCAAAAGCATTTACATGTATATGATGTGAAAAGCTAGGTACTATATTGCAATGTAGTTGCATAAATTTAAGATAATCACTTAATTGTCTATATGTAGAATTGTGGAGTAAAGCTGCATGCGTGAATGCATAACTGCATATCTGTTGTACTCTAAAGCATGCAGGTAACTGAAGATGCACAAAAGGGCATTCAAAGTATGCCTTCCATATGTATAAATTACTGTTAGATATCTTACATACATGTACATGTAAGTAAATATTGATCTCTGATCAGAAACCACCCAAATTGTCCCAGGGGGCCAGAGTCACTCATGTGTAACAGTGGACAGGAAAATCAGACCCTCACAGTTAAATCTTCACACCCTACTACAAGTTGTGATGACGAGTAAAGGAATGTGGTGTGGGACAGATACGTCAGTGGTGTGACAGGTCTATTATTGATGGATAATCATGTCATTACATTATTGTAATGGCTCTATCTGCATTGTCACTCAAAAGATGGTGACCAGGTTTAATGGGCTGGATTAATACTTAAAACACTTACAAAATGAAAAACTTTTTCTTTTACAGCGAGGGAAATTAAGGTTTCAATTTGTTAAATAGGAACAACTAGCATATCTTATGAAAAAAGCAATCTAAATCTTAATATAAAAATATTTATTTTAAAGAGCATTCTTGATATTAAAGCCATAATTATAGGGATAATATCTTTAATATGCTAGGGTTAGAATGCAACACAGTAGGGAACATAAATTATAAAATTATAGTTATTGTTTACCTGTACCACTTGATATTTGTTTTGAGGTGAAAATCCAAATCAGTATATGTTTTGGCAAGTTTGAAAAGTGGTTGAATGAGTTTTGGTTGAAATCCTTAGGGTAGACAAATGAATATTGTCAGATTATCACAGTGACACATCACTGAACCATAAATATCATAAAATCATCTATTTGGAATGTCCTGATAGCCTTTGTACACAGAAAGATGAGCCTTGTAATTAGTGAAAGATAAGATAATGGTCATCACCAATTGTGTACCGACTTTCATCAAAATTATGCAAGGATCATGAAAGTGTTCAGAGAAACTTCAGGGATTTGATAAATTATTTTTACCTTTGCATTTTAATTAGATTGTAAGATTGTAAATTTATGCTAATCTTTTAATATTACTCCTTCAGAAACATTGGGCTTGTGAAAAATGAATGTGGATCCAGCATTTCGTAGTGTACAAAAAGGGAGGTCTGGATTCTACATATGGAGAATAGAGGTAAATCAGTATATAGATTTATCATGTTAAACATCTATGTACCAAAATTCATCAATTTTGTTATTCTATATTAATTTCCTAACACTGATTGCTGCTGAACTGCAGCTATAAACTAAGACAACACAGTGTAAGTTTGGGCAAGAAATAACCATGATTTATTTGTTATACAATGAAATCTAATAAGACATGTATGTGACAAGCATACAGTTAAATGAAATCATGGTTAACCTCTGACTAACTACAAACACACACACTCTGCTCTCATACAAAAAAAAAAAAATTTCGTGGCCTTTCCCCTTTGCCCTTTTCCAAAAAAGTGACGCTTTCTTGCAAAGTCAGGGATAGTAAGCCTGTGATTGTGCTATCTGATTGGTCAGTTAAATTGTTTTTATTTAAAATTTCCTAAATCTGACCCCTGATTGGCTTAAAAGAGCCCAGCCACCAGGGGGCGCCTGGTACTGGGCCATTGACCTAATTCCCTAGAGGGTCCCCCCCTATTGTCTAATTATGTAAACGATCTGATTTACCCCCTAGAGGGTACCCCTCAATTGTTATCAAGCATTGGGGCAATTGACCCATATTTCATAATAACCAAAAATGGCGTATAATAAAACTAATAAAGATAGACACAATAAACATGTAAGTTATCGCATAAGTATATAGCCCATACACTGCACATATGTATTACATAATAATCAACAGAAATAAACATAATCTGAGACATGCAAACATGCAAGTTATTGTATAAATATATAAACACACTGCACATACATATTACATAATAAGCAATAGTACCATAAGAATACGAAGCTAATGGTGACATAGACATAAAAACATGAGAAGTATGTTACATAAATTAATAACAATTAAACACTGTTTAATAATATATTAATTTCCTAACACTGATTGCTGCTGAACTGCAGCTATAAACTAAGACAACACAGTGTAAGTTTGGGCAAGAAATAACCATGATTTATTTGTTATACAATGAAATCTAATAAGACATGTATGTGACAAGCATACAGTTAAATGAAATCATGGTTAACCTCCAAAAGCCCAAACTGGGTAGAATGTAGGGGAAAAAAAAAAATAAATAAATAATAATAATAATAATAAAAAACAACCTCCCACACAACTTGCACACTTTCCAAACAATTCTACGATAATAATACAAAAGCTAGGCAAAACAAAGTATAGGTAGTGTCAATGATCTACAATCAATGAAAAGCACACAAAGTTTTTAATAAAAACTGCCAAGCGAGGGAGTCGAAGAGCCATCACATCATGGCAAGCACCGGCTGACGGTCAGTAAACAGAGAACTCCACGCAAGGTCTCTCCCGGAATATGTACGGGAAAAGACTTGTTAATGGTACAGATGTTCATACGAGAGTCACACAATAACATAAGCACTGTTCGTACCGAGTATCACCAAAAGGTTCATATGAGAGTCACACCATAACCTAAGCACTGTTCGTACGGAGTGTCACCATTTAGGTTAATATCTCTCAGGATAATGAACACAAATGTAGCATATTACGGTGGAAGGATAGCAGCACATGGCCAAGGTGATGGAGGAATCCATATTCCTATGCCTGGCCAACCCACAAGAACACAGCACAATAACATACATATAAGCAAAACAAATATAGACCTAAATATATACAGAATATTATTGCATCACAAAGTATGCTTTCGTGGCAGGTTATATCGGGAATTTTCGTTGAAATTCTGAGCCTAATCTGGCAGCTACCTGGCAACGAAAGGAAAGAGATGGGTCTACATATGAACGATAGGCATCTGATCGCCAGTCTCCTTGGGACTGTATTAAATCTGAAGGTAAACCACACTCTAATGCAAAGGATGCCCCACCCCTACGGAAACTGTGCCCTGAAAATTTGTCTGGATTAATACCTAATAGTGATAAAATGTGTTTAAGCTTCCTCAGGAAGATTGGATAAGTCAAGATATGCCATTTGGACCCTACTAAGTATGTAAAGGCTGGCTGGGGGGCCTGAGAGGATGGAAAAAGTCTGAAAATAAGCTTTAACATGCAACTCGGGCAAAAAGGGGATCTTGGGATATGGGGCAAGGGCACTTGCAACGACCTTTGAGAGTATTGGATGGTTTTAGACCACAGAACTGAAATCACTGCACCAGTAGAAGTGAAGGTAATATTAGACCTTGAAAGGTGTTTGTTAGGGTCAAATTTGTCCCATGCCGGAGCTAGTAGGTTAGATTTCCTAAAAAAGGAGAAAAAAGCCACTAAACAGGCTGACCAGAAGGTGAGATCCTCTGGGTTATGCAAATTTATAAAAGGAAACATTCTATTTAAAATGTCCGGGGTAATGGGCAACTTTGGACTAGATTTTGCACCTAGGAGGCGTTTAACCCCTTTAAGAATGTTGGTAATTTGCAAAGAGTCCAAAGGATTTGGATGACCCGCATCGAGGTGTAGTAGGCGGACTACTGATAAGTAATTACGGATAGAAAAATATGATAACCGAAATGACAGGAAGGCTATAAACCTGCACAGATTATCTGGAGAAATTGGTACCAAGGCAATGCCTAGAGAGTTACAAAACAACAAATATGACTGAAGATATGACCAGTATGTTCTTTTGGTGGAATCAGCCAGAATGCTGCATCGAAGCAACCGCACTCTTGCATCTAGGGAAGCGGTTGAAAGCGAGTGTGTACCTGTCAAAAAGACAAGAAAAGGTGGGCTTAGAGATATGTGAGTACCAGTCACTCACGTCAACATATCCTGTGATAGGATGTGCAAAGGTAGCTAAAAAGGCAGTAAAATTATGCTTCTCATGGAGGCGGGAAATAAAATCTGCTTTGCAATTAAGCTTACCAGGTACATGTTTGGCAGTGAATCTGAAGTTGTAAATGGCTGACAGCCAAAACAAACTGCGTAAACATTGCATAAGAATGGAATTTTTGGACATGCATTTATTTATACTGGCCACTGTGGCCGAGTTGTCAGAAAACATTGTAACCCTATGATTGGCCCAGAGCGGGGCCCAGCGGTGAGCTGCAATAACAACAGCCAAAATTTCTTTTTCATTGATGTGCATATTGGCTGCAGATGGGAAATCCAATTCCCAGTTACAATAGAACCAGTCGTGGTTCCAAGAGCCCCCTGCACCCAGTGTACAGGCATCAGTGTAAACTGATGATATGGGCTTACCATGAAGAAGTAAGGATTTCCCATTGAAGGTTTCAAGGAATTGGCACCACCAGGAAATATCCTGGAGTACCTCACCAGACAGGCGTATCTTGTGCGATTTGTGCTTGAGGCCAACAAAGGCGTTGATAATGCGGCGCAGGAACACTCTTCCACCGTATACCACTGATGCGGCCCAATTAAGCTTCCCAGCTAGGGATTGTAATTGATGCTTAGAGGCGCGTTTGCGCTCTTTAAAAAGATTAAGCTCATTGCGAAGCTCAGCTAATTTGCACGCGGGCAGCCTTAGTTCCATCTGAACACTACTAATTTCTATGCCTAGAAAAATTAAAATTTGGGAAGGATCAACTACTTTTTTCCAGTTTATATAAAAACCTAGTCTCCTTAGGAGATGTATCAATGTTGACAAAGCTTGTGAACAGTCTTGTTTAGACCTTTCGCAAATGAAGAAATCGTCTAAATAAGCTACAATAATATAGCCCCTACGGGCCATCATTCTGCGAACTGCTTGGGAGAGTCGGTGAAAAATACCTGGAGATTCTTTAGATCCGAAAGGTAGTTTAGTGTCAAAGAAGTAGGAAAATTTCCCATCAAAAGGCCATTTAAAACCTGTAACCCTTTGACTTTCCGGGCTAATAGGAACTGATCTGTAAGCTGATTTTAAGTCTACTTTGGCCATGTAACATCCCTGTTTAACCAGTCTAGTTGCATCATCTAAAGATTGGTATTTAAACTTGTAATCATTTGACACATAATCATTGACCGCAGCACCTTTCGGGCGGCTACAGTCATGTATTATGCGAATCCCCCCATCTGATTTTGGAATAATGCCCATAGGACTTACTAAAAGAGGAGGGCTAGGGGCATGGACATAATTGCCTTCACTAATTTCATCTAAAATTTGAGCTGTAGCTTTAGCAAACAAATCTGATTGAGGTGAGGCTGAAGGATGATTGTTCATTTCAACTGAATGAGGGGACAGTGAAGGGTCTATAATGTGAAAACCGTTTTTGATACCTTGAAGAATAAAAGATTTATCTGGGTCATTTGCAAGTTCTTCTTCCCAAGCAGACAGAATGAGACCTGAGGGTTTTAACCGTTTTTTGTCGAAGTATGATCGGTGGAGGAGTGTTTCTCTGCGCAGCCTGGGACTGCACAAACATGGGAGAATCTACATTGTTTAGAGAAACAACCTTTTCTAGTGTTGAAACGTTTGCAGATTTCCATGCCCTGGGGTGTATGAGAAGCTCTAGGGGGGAACTGTCCACCTGATGTAGGTCTTACAGACTTAAGGGGATGTGTATGGGGTAATTGTACCCTTGGTTTTAAGTAAACCGTTTGGATATGGGGGATGTCTGTGCCCCACCTAAATTTGTGTAGATTTTGGAGCTTTCTGTATTCTCTATCATAGAAGAACACAGATTTAATTTCGTATGAAGCTAAGAGTTGGTAAACCCTGGTGGTGTACGATAGATAATCCAGGATACTGCCAGGTAACAAGGCATTTTCTTGTAATAATTTTTGAAGGATCGCTAGATTAGCTACCGACCACTGGGACAGGGAAATATTTTCGAGTTTAGGTTTGGAGGGCCCCGATTTGAAGACTAACTGCCCATCTTCATTGTTAGACAATACTCTTTCACTTTGTGAGGCAGCTGCCTGATTAATAAAATCTACAATATCATGATATTGACTATTTGCTGAAGATGTAGACAGGGACTTAAGATAAATTTGAGGGTCCTGCCACGAAAACATACCTGGTTGGTCCAGTGTTGGAGCAGTGTTGATTGTGGGCTGGCTGGATCCCTGGGCTGATCTAAGTTGGCCCAACATGTCCGTTAAGAAAGGGTCCGATCTGTCCCCAAGTTGTCCCTGCGAGAGCGTCGGATCCGTCCCGTTTAGGGGTGTCCCGAGCGAGGGGCCAGGCATATCCTCTGCTGGAGCGTCAGCTGTTGTAGTATTGGTTTGCGTAGCTGCCGGGCCTCGCGGAAAAGTTTGGCGTATCGAATGCATAAGCAAGCGCTTTTGTCCCACAGGAATAGTGGAAGGCAAGTCATCTTCCGACAACAGCGATAAAGCCTCCATACTGTCGTATCCCAGTTCTATAAGGACAGTTGCGGTACGGGTTGACAATTTTTTACGATCCGCCCATTTTGATACCGCTTCCTCGCCGACAGTCATTTCAATCTCACCGTCCGACATTATGATTGCAATAAAGGCGATTTCAATACAATGAAAAGTCACATGCGTACAAACAAAGACAAATAGAATTTACTGCGATCGCTGATCGCGCAGACGGCACACAGGAATTCGGACAAAGTCCTCAGGGGTACAAAAAATGCAGCCATTGCAAAAGGCAGAACAGTCCATAGAAATGAAGAAAAGCGCATCGACGAGCACGTAATTGGCCTCCTGGATAATTGCAAACAGTCTGTCAGATTCCTCATCGGACATAACATACCAGGCTGGAATGTTGAAAAACAAACGAACCGAAGAAAGTCTCTGCGCCATGGTGTAAGTGTTCACAGTCCAACAGAAAAAACGTGCATTTCATCACGTGTACAATTAGCACAGAATGGAATGTCAGCAAAAAAAAAAATTTCGTGGCCTTTCCCCTTTGCCCTTTTCCAAAAAAGTGACGCTTTCTTGCAAAGTCAGGGATAGTAAGCCTGTGATTGTGCTATCTGATTGGTCAGTTAAATTGTTTTTATTTAAAATTTCCTAAATCTGACCCCTGATTGGCTTAAAAGAGCCCAGCCACCAGGGGGCGCCTGGTACTGGGCCATTGACCTAATTCCCTAGAGGGTCCCCCCCTATTGTCTAATTATGTAAACGATCTGATTTACCCCCTAGAGGGTACCCCTCAATTGTTATCAAGCATTGGGGCAATTGACCCATATTTCATAATAACCAAAAATGGCGTATAATAAAACTAATAAAGATAGACACAATAAACATGTAAGTTATCGCATAAGTATATAGCCCATACACTGCACATATGTATTACATAATAATCAACAGAAATAAACATAATCTGAGACATGCAAACATGCAAGTTATTGTATAAATATATAAACACACTGCACATACATATTACATAATAAGCAATAGTACCATAAGAATACGAAGCTAATGGTGACATAGACATAAAAACATGAGAAGTATGTTACATAAATTAATAACAATTAAACACTGTTTAATAATATATTAACCACACAAGCATTTTACAAATAAATCAATTATACAGAATAGAATAAAGAATTGAAATTTTATCCTATTTGAAATGAAAATCATCTGTTTAAAAAACAATATTGCAAATGTTTTAATGTCACTGTTACCTCTGTCCTCAAGAAGTATATAAAGTTTAACTGTGATTTCAGGACATGAAAGTTGTGGCAGTTCCTCGAGAACAATATGGCAGCTTCTATAAGGGTGACTCCTACATCATCCTCTCTGTAAGTTGAATGAATTCAGCTGCTCTGTTTTCATATTACATATTTTTCTTCTCATTAATGCAACACTCCTTTGGATTGATATACATATACATTTTAATTATCTGATACACTTTCAAATACTTTCTTCATCTCAAAACTTTAATATGTACTCTTTGATTTCAATTTTAAAATTGTTCATTATACATTACTGGGTATACATGTATTAAATCTTTTGCATGTATGTTTTAGTAGTGATACATGTAGATTAAATAAAAATGTCTCTTTGATTCATGTTTTACAATATGTTTCATCAGGTTACAAATGATATATGTTTCAGTGTTAACAGGTATAGTTAAGGTTAATAAATAGAACTAAATTTAAAATTATACAAACCAGTTATCTGAAGAGGGAGACATCAAGGGCGTGAACATTAAGGTATATACATGTATCTATCTGTAGTCAAAGCCTTTACATCATTAAAAGCTTGTTGTTGACATTGGGACACAGTGTATGCCACCACCATTAAAAGCATATTCTTGACATTGGCACACTGGCCACCATGTTTAAAAAATTGACCTTGACATTGGAACAATCACAATCATCAGTATATGTAAAAGCATGATCTTGATATTGGAACATTTGCCACCATCAATTAAATCATGTCCTTGACAATGGAACACTTGCCATCATTATAAAATGCATGTCATTGAACACTTGCCACCATCTTTAAAAGCATGCCGTTGACATTGGGCCACCATCATTAACAGCTGATTAACATTGTGTCCTGGACATTGGGATACTTACCACAACCATTAAAAGCTTGTCCTTGGCATTGGGGTACATGCCACCATCAATTACATTGTGTCCTGGACATTTAGACACTTGCCACCATCATTTAAGGATTGTCTTGACATTTGGAGACTTGCTTGTTCTAGACATTGAGACATATTCCACCATAATGAAATGATTGTCCTTGACACTTGGACATTTGGAGACTTGCCATCATCATTAAAAAGTTGTCCTTGAAATGGGGATACTTTCCACCATCATTTTAAAGGTTTTCTTTGACACTGGGGCATTGAGATGCTTGTCACCATCATTAAAAGCATGTCCTTGTCATAGAAACATTCATTTTCGCAAAAGCCTCATAAACTGATAATGGGAAGTCCAATTTTAGCATGCTATTGAGTGGAAATGTAGTGAATTATCACATATGAATTGAACTTAGCTGTTTGTTCTTTCTAGCATGCTTTTTAAAGTTTTATTTCTGCTGAATGCTTGTTATGCATTGATCATTCATGATAAGTTTTGATATTTTTGTATTCCTCAAACAATGAAATGTTAAAAGGTTTTGGATGAAATGAGATAACAGGTACATGGTTTTTTTTTCACTGCCAGGAAAATTTTTTCACTATTACTGTTCTTTTTCATGTAACTGTTGAATTTTGACTTAATGAAGCTTTTTGAATGAAAATTTCACACATTGCTTTAGCATCAAATTTGAGATATGATATGTCATTTTAAATCATCATCCAGGCTATATCTTAATCTTCACATTTGACGTCAACATGTACAATATTTTTTCTTTAACAATTCTGCTAAAGAATATCTTTTTCTCCTTTTAGAATTGAACTCCAATGTAATATATTTTGTAAAGGTCCATACAGTTGTAATTTATGAATCATTCTTTTGGATTTTTTTTTTCAAAGAGCATCTCATTTATTGAACACATTGAATACTTAGTAGTAAAAGATCACTTTTCAGAAAATAAGGTCTAGCTTATTAAATTTCAGAAATTTTAATTTTTTTCTATAAAATTGTGTAACATATTTAAAATGTATTTAAAAGAAAGGTATTCAAACCCCATCTTCAGGTATTAGAAATCTTTCATATTTGAATAAGCTAGTCTGATCTTTTTGGTACTTATCATTTTAGAATTCATTGATAGTTAATGCATATACTGAATGTAGGAAAAGTTTTACAGAATGAACATGTCATGATCTGCTTGCTTGGACATACTTTGTGTTTTGCTTTGAGATCTCGTAGAGCTGTTTGGTCACATGGAGATAAAATGCACATGCATTTTGCCTCGTTTTTTTGTCATCAAATTTGCAACTTGGTTGTTCCTGATAAAACAAAGGAAGTCACTTAAAATAAAAGATTAAAGAATATATAAAGTAGTGGTACAACTGTTTAGTGTATATACATGATTTATAATGCAGTATGTAAGATGTTGCAGAAGTAGCTGTATAATTGTTATTATAGGGCAGAGTAAGGTATATTTTTCCTAAATTAGACAAATCTAAAATAATAATATATGCATAGAGCAAAGAAAATTGTGGGTTTAATATTTATATTTTAGAACATTATTTTTGTGTCATAAGATGTCTGCCCATGCAGGGATCGTGTATTGACTTAACATACTATACTTCATATAGTACATGTATGTATTGATAGTATCACTAGTTTAAATGGAAAGGGTCAATTTTTGGTATTATTTTCCTAAAAACCTATCCCTGTTTGATTTCAGATTAAGGAAATTAAGGGAAGCCTAGATGCTAACATTCACTTCTGGCTGGGCTCCGAGACTACACAGGTATGATCAGCATCTTATCAGAGTTTGTTTTTCCCAAGGTTGTGTCACTTCAACTCATTTAAAGCTACCAACCTTACCTCAACTCAGGCATGTCTTTGTGGCCTGATTAAACTGTTAAAAAAAGGCAGAGTGCAGAATTAAAGGTATATATTGAGAGTTTATTTAGAATTTAAGACTGATGGCTTTAAGGTAGACATTTGAAAGGTGTGGATGTGATTGGAATGTTGATCAGAGAGCACAGGTAGTTCTGGGTATTTAAATGTCAGTATGCTAAAGGACTGAAAAAGAAGGCAATAAAACATATATAAAAAACATATCCATTGGCAGAAACCAGATTATAGGTTTTCTGGGTAACATGAAAGCTGATTCAGCTCATTTATTTCAATAAATTGAGATTAATCCTCTGCAACAATACTTGACTTCATGTTGTAAGTACATGCATATATTGTTTTGAAATAAGATTTGAAGAGAAGTGTAGTAAAAGTTTAAAATGAATTGATATAGGATGAAGCAGGTGTAGCAGCATATAAAACAGTAGAACTTGATGATTACTTGGGAGGGGCACCTGTTCAACACAGAGAGGTCGAAGGTCATGAATCAAAACGCTTCCTCAATTACTTCAAGTCAAAAGGAGGAGTCAGGTATAGATATAAGTTTTTATTTAAATGAGTATTTTTGTTTCAATAATATGAAAAAGTTCAAAAGAGTTTTTTTTCCCCGATCAACTTCAAAAAGAAATGTAAATTGTTGAACCATTAGCAGAATGATGTAAGCTTGATTTTTAGAAAAAGAATACTGAATCCATTCAATGATGCATTTTTTTTTTGTAATTTTCAGATATTCAGATGGAGGCCACAAGTCAGGCTTTAACCATGTGGAACACACATTTAAGCAGAGACTCCTACATGTCAAAGGAAAACATCATGTCAGAGTATCAGAGGTGAAGAGAATCGTACAACATTATCTCATGTACTGATGCATGCAGAGAGATCTTTTATGAAACTGATATATATTTGTGGTTTTCAAAATTATTTGATATGTACATATATTATGACATTTTGCAATAGTCTTTGGATTTCTCCCACAACACTCTTTTACATCACATAATAAAACATGATTGTATTCAATAATGTAGAGGTTCACAGAGGGATTTTTTTCACTTGAAACCACAATAAATACTATCTCTGTAAATATTGTCTCTTAGGTATATATTTTTTTTACAGACACCTATTGGCTGGTCATCCATGAACCATGGTGATGCATACATCTTAGACACAGGTCTGGTATTATATGTATGGGTTGGAAAAGAGGCCAGTCGCACGGAGAGAATCAAGGTCAGCAAACAGAATCAACACAGTCGTCGTGTACAGGATAAGAGATACTTTAATTTTTCAGTCTTGAGATGTTATGCTATGTCTTTGCAGGCTTTAGAACATGCTCGACATTTGAGAGATGAGAGAGGAAAGGCCAACATTATTGTAGTGGAGGATGGGCAAGAGAAAGAAATGGCTAAGGACGAATTAGATGTATTACCCTTAAACAATACTTAGCTTACAGTAGAACACACTTATACATAGCAAAGTTCCAGGGATGAAAATTTTGATTCATTATAAATGTAGTTCATCATATCTGATAAGTTCATACTATGTTTAAAAGCTACAGGGAATGAAGATCATTTCTAGCACACAATTAAAAGTTTACAGTAAATGAATCCAGTGTGAATAATAGTACATTTATAGAAGCATGGTTCTATCATTTTAGGAATTTGAAAAGCACCTTCCTCTGAGTTCCAAAGATCAAATTAAGTCAAAAGAGGAAGGAGGTGCAGATGAGGTGGCAGAGAGAAAGGGCAGCTCTGAGCTTAAACTTTATGTGTGAGTCATTTACATGTATAATATAAAGTGAAAACTATGAACTTACAAGAAGTTTTCATTAGGAGAAAAGAAATTTGGGAAATGCCATGTAGGTTGTATGTTTTATGGTATATATTTTTTTTTTGCAGCTGTTCAGAAGATGATGGTACCCTCAAAGTCTCTGAGGTCAAGAGTGGCCCTCTTCTGAAGTCTGACCTTGACTCTGGTGTAAGTTTGACCTTGACTCTGGTGTAAGTTTGTCAAGTCTCTGGATAATATTTTATGATCCAAATTTAAATCTTGGATAACCCTTGCATCTAGTCAAGAGTTTTTATCTTCAATGTTTGCCCTTTAGGAGTCCTACATTATTGACAATGGCAGTGCTGGTATTTGGGCCTGGATTGGAAAGAAATCATCCAAGAAGGAAAGATCTGAGGCTATGAGGAATGCCTTGGTAAGTATAGTTACAATAACTGAGGAACACTACCCTTCTCAATAATTATTATTGCTGCATTGAAGATGCTTCAGTGACTTGTTAGTTTATTGTTTGCTTGATGTAAATATTATAGTCTTGTTGTAGGAAGATAATTTGCTTTACATTTATTCCTAATAAACCAATACTTTATAAAAACATAACTTAAAGTTTTAAAAAGAAACATGACTGTATGAAAGATTTGATTTCTTTCTCCCAGGGCTTCATCAAGAAGAAGAACCTACCTACCAGTACTAGTGTTACTCGTGTCGTGGAGGGAGGTGAACCTTCTGATTTTAAATGTCTCTTCAAGGACTGGCCCCAGCCTCCCATCACAGGCAAAGTCTACAGTCGCAACAGAGTTGGTGAGTGTCACATTAATTGTCAGAGCAAGTAATGCATACCGTATATCCATATATTTGCGATGATCTATTTTTCACATTTTTTGCATTCATTTTTAATTCGCAAAAAATAAAACATGCAGAAATAATGTTGATTATTGTGCCATAAAAAACAGCCTTCTAGTTTACTGTGTGTGGAAGCTCACACTGTCATTCACAAAAATATAACTTGCGCAAAATAAAAACTGTACAAATCTACCCTTTTTTGCAAAATTTGCAACACGCAAAAAAAACAAAAACGGATATATGGTAATTTAATTCCTGCTTGTTGTTATGAACTAAGATAAATAGAAATTTATGATTTCATTTCCAGCCAAAACCATCCAGACCAAATTTGATGCTTCTACTCTCCACTCTAATCAACAGCTGGCTGCCGAGACTCAGATGTTTGATGATGGATCAGGGCGAGTTGAGGTCAGTAGAACTGATAAGCAACATGTATTTTGTTCCTTTTTTTTCATCTCTGATCTTTTTCTTCAGAACTCTACAGAACATGAAAATGAAAAAAAAAAGATTAATAGATTTTTTTTGCCATTTTAGACTGTGTCAGACAGTTAAACTTTATAAAGCAAGTTCGTGATTTGTATTTATTTTAAAAGTAGCTAAGCTTTAATTGAACTGTGACTAGTTAGATGTCTTTCAAAATACATTTACTTCTTTTTTCTTCATTACACCTACAAGTACAACTTAATTTAATGCATCTTTTAAATACGTGTAGGTGTGGAGAGTAAAGGACTTTGATTTGGAACCCATACATGCAAAGTACATGGGACAATTCTTTGCTGGGGACTGCTATGTTATACAGTACACCTACCAGGTCGCTGGGAAAGAAAACCATGTCATCTACTATTGGCAGGGACTCAAGGCCACCACAGATGAAAAAGGAACATCAGCTCTAAAAGCAGTGGAGCTAGATGATAAACTAGGAGGAGCTGCAGTTCAGGTACAATTTTTTTTTCAAAAATATTCGCAGCTTTCTATGATACACAATTAAATATTTATTTTTAGTGCAGATTAAAGTACATATTAACAAATATTCGACATTCAAGGAGTCAATCAGCCAGTTCTTCTGGAGTGCTTCTGCAGAAATAGCATTTGTTTTTAGTTTCTCCATATTTTTTGAGTTAACTGATTTGAACCGTGGAATAAGTTTTGTTATGGTCATTTGCAGGTTCGAGTGGTTCAGGGCAAAGAGCCAGCCCACTTCATGTCCATGTTTGATGGCAAAATGATCATTTTCTCTGTAAGTCAATCATCGGTTCAATCATTTACAATTTCATATTTTGCTGCATGATTTAATTGATATGTTTCATTAATTGTCTGTTTGTGTCAGGGTGGTCATGCTGGATGGGGAGGGCAACAGAACAACAATGCCGATGGGCCAGGTGACAGCTACATGCTTCAGGTCAGGGGAACCAACCAACTCAACACCAAAGCTGTTCAGGTATTATAGCAATTTTATTTACTAGAATAAGGATGATAAAATGAGCATGTTAATTATATGAAGATTTTTTCATGAACATGTTCTTCATTTTACAGGTGGAAATGGATGCTTCCTCTCTTAACACAAATGATGTTTTTGTTATTTTCACCAAAACCCAAGTTTTTATCTGGTGTGGAAAGGTAAGTTTTAGGGATCTAAATTCAGATTGATTGAATGTTTTAGTTTATTTCACCTGGTGATTTTTTTAAAGATTTTTGGATGAGCTCATGACATATTCTCCCAACTACACTTTAGTATCCACTGTAAACATACCTGGACAAAATTATTACATTTTTAAGTACAGTTTTAGCTAGGAGATGTACAATTATGCAACATACATTTATAATCCATTTGGGGGAAAATACATTTATATCTCCCTGAAATTATTCTTAATATTCTTTTTGTGGGATTAACATGTACATGTTTTTTATGGTATTTTGGTATACTCCATTATTAATGATATGTACTATTGAGAATATTATATAGATTTAGTAAGCATAAATTTACAAAGTTACTGTAGGTAATCAAAAGCATTGTCCTGAAGATTTATACATGTATATGTGAAACTTTACATCTCTTCCTTTTGTTGAGGTGATCTGCATGTATTTATTATAATCTTTGATTTAAACTTTGTTTAGATTATGTTCATGTATCTGAACTTATTATTCCTGCTGTTTGTAGGGTAGCACAGGGGATGAAAGAGAAATGGCCAAAAAAGTCACCAGCAGATCACCTAGGTAGATGTAGAGATAATAAGAAAATATATTCAAGTGTAGAGACTAGCATAATCAGATTTATTAGTCAAGAACAACGCGAGTGTAAATGTGCACTACACATATATAACACTACATGTATGTTTGACAGAGAGCCAGTCATGGTGTTTGAAGGTCAAGAGAAGGACACATTCTGGAACGTTTTGGGAGGAAAGAAACCTTACATCAATGACAAGAGGCTTCAGGTATGTGTGTGAATGGTACCGCCCGACAGAGTTCTGTGTCGGGAATGTTTTAAGATCACATTTATTGAACTAAAATATGATAATTATGCATATTTAGTTTAATCTCTCTGAAATTATTTTCAATCATATCAGCGGTAATTTTTTCATATATGTATTCACAGAGACAAAAATGTAAGTTATGTCTTTGGTATTCATTGTGTTATTAATGCTTGAAAAATATAATAGTAATAGCTGTATTCTTCATTTGAATTCTGTATTGATAATTACTAGATTTGTGCAAATTTAAAACACCTGATGGAAAAATAAGCAAGATTATGCACCCACATATTGAAAGCACTATGCAGAGAAAATCTAATGTCAATCACTTTTTGTAATGTTAATTCATAATCGATGTATTACAGGAAGTAGAGACAAACCACCCAGCACGCCTGTTCCAGGTGTCTAATGCCTCAGGCAGATTTACTGTAGATGAAATCCCAGACTTCAGTCAACAGGACCTGGTCAGTGATGATGTCATGATTCTGGATGTCTGGGACACAGTGTATGTTTGGATTGGAAATGGAGCCAACAAACAGGAGAGGGATGAGGCTGAGAGACTGGCCATTGTACGTACAACAAAAAATAAAGATGTAGAAATTAGAGATATACATATATTGTAGATTATACGTGTATATACTTTCTTCACAGCTTTTTTGCTATTAGATTTTTCAAGCCAAAATAAGTTTTATAAATTGTATTGTATTATATTTTTTATGTGTATTTTTAACACGGTGTGATTTTTATTCATAAATCATGTGTCCAAAATTACAGTATGATATAAAGCTCAAATTTTCTTACTGTCAGTAAAGTTTTCATCGTAAATTTCACATGCAGAGTTCTGACCTGCAAGTAAATACTGCTCTTTAAAATTTCTGTTATCTACATCCTCCTAAAGATTATTATGTTTATAGACAGTGTTCATGTCTGTATTAACGTTTGGTCAAAAAATCATTGTGAACACTTTAGAACAGTGTTCATGTATGTTTGAAGAAAGAATCATTGTGAACGTCTTAGTTGAAGTAGGTGAAAATTCTGTTGCAAAAAAGTCTTATTTTTCTGTTCCAGGAGTATGTAAAAACAGATCCAGCAGGGCGAGATGAAGATACCCCAGTATACAAAGTCAAACAAGGCTTTGAGCCTCCCACATTTACTGGCTTCTTTGGAATGTGGGATAGGGAGTTGTGGAGTGTAAGTTTATTTTTATAACTTTCCAAAATAATAAACACAACTTAATACACTGAGATTGGCCTGTACATTTTCTGATTTGAAACTATTTACTTCATGAATTTTATGACTTTGTAGAAGGGGAAATCCTTTGAGGAACTAAAGAAAGAACTTGGAGAAGGAAATGAAGCTATGTCTCTTGTCAAGCAGGTCAGATTTCAATCTTTTGTAAGAGGACTTGTAGAACAACTTTAAGTGATGATTAAACTGATAAACAATAACACAAGTGGTAAAACTGATAAACAACAACTATAGGTGGTGTTAAAACTGATAACCAACCCACACAGCTTTAATTTCTCTGACTTGTAATTGTTAGCAAAATCTATTTTCATTTGTTTTGAATTCTTGTCCATCCTGTTATTAATTTCTAATTAAGATGATATTCATTGGTTTCTATTAGCTCTAATTGTAAAGAACTTGTCTTACTCAGTGTCTAATGAGTGAGAACAACAAAACAAGAATCTACATTTTCTGTCTATTGAAAATTTCATTTGAAGAGATTGTCTGTTTTTGTTGCATTAAGGTGGCAGAGAATGGTTCCACAGACTTCCAGGATGTGGCTAAATATAGCTACGATGAGTTGACAGTACCGGCAGAAGAACTACCTGCTGGGGTTGACCCCTCATGTAGAGAGGTACATGTATTAGAATGTTGTGACTTTCTGTCTCAACCTTAATCTTAACGAAGTTACAAAATCTTATTGGTAATTTAATAACATGGAATATTATACATGTACATGCCAAGTGTATGTAGATATGTACATACTCTTTGTACATGTGCTTAAAGTATTTATTGCATGATCATACTGGTAAACCAGTGTTTAGTTTAGGAATGGTGAACATGTTCAAAGTTTTTATGAAATTTGTGTTTACTAGAACATCATTAAGGAACGTGTACTGATTTTAGGGTAAACAAATTTAGTGTAAAGATTGGCATTAAGGCACAATTTGGCACAATCATGAATAATTTAGGATGTATTCATAAATTAGTCCTCAAAGGATTGTATGAAAGGTGCCAAATATGAATCAGCTAAGATGACTATAATTTATATATATACAACATTTTGTTAAATTACAAAGAGAGACTGTTATAACAAGTTCATTTTGTCTTTTTTAGATCCATCTTAGTAATGAAGACTTTGAAAAGATTTTCAAGATGAAATACTCAGATTTTATTACTAAAGCACCATGGAAACAACAGGAATTAAAGAAGAAGAACAAACTATTCTAGTAGAACTTTTTATTTTAGTCAATATTTCACATTGCTCATTGTACATTGTACGTTATTTGCATTAGGCATTAGTTAATGTATATAAGTATCCAAATTTGAAATGGAGCTGATGTTGGTCATTATAGGGTATTTATCATTGCTTACACTGTGAATGCTTTTGTGGTGTTACACAATGTTTTAGACTTTGTTATACAGTAATTTTCTATTTTATCGTAGTGTTGTACATTGACACATACACCTTTATATTTGAAAATTAATGTTCACATCAAGAATATGCATTTCCATTTGCAAGAATAGTAAATATGAAGAATGTATGCCATGTTAGTTGTGAAAAGACCACATTCCTTTATTTATTGTGATCCAAATTTCATATTTTCTTTTTACCATAAAACTTAATCACATATCAAGCACTAAGCTGTGAACAAGTATTTATAAATGGGTTCTGTTTTTTGTAGACCAAATCTCATCAGAACTTGACTTTCTATGTTGGATCTGCTTTGTTGTTTGTTTATTTTTATAAAATAAATCTTTGATATGTTAAATATTTACTTACACATTCCTAGTTTTGGATATTATTATTATGATACATGTACAATAGTTGTTTTTTTTTTTTTTTGGTTTTGTTTTTCACTATATTGATTTGGTTGTCCAATAATCTATAGTTTATTTGTGCCTGTTGCATTTATTTAGCAAGTATTTTAATATTAATGATGTATCTTATTCAAGAGTATTATATTTAGGGGTGTGAGACTTATTTAAACTTGATATGAAAAACAAACATTTAAAGGCATTAATGTTTAAGTTTAATACAGATACATGTACATGTATTTTACAAATTAAAATCAGTTTATTATATTTCAGAGTAAGGAAAAAAGACTACTTTCCCTTAGAACAAGGAGAAATCCTTATCTCTTGTCTCTGTTATGCTTAACCCTGTGAAGAATATAAAATATGAATAAATTGGTAGCGCTAACATCATTTCTTCCTTCAAAAAGATATTGCAAAACTTTTCTTGCTTTCAAGAAGACAAGTTGTAAAGACATCCTCTCGTCTTTGGTCAATTTGATCTCAACCAAGGTAACTGGACAAGTACATGTACCTTTTTATCTTGTACATGTATTTCAGAAATAAAGTATTCAGGGTAAATACATGTACATGTATGAAGATGAATGGCATTTACATGAGAATTTCTTTGTTATTTCTAATAATTAGCATAATTTTTTTTTCATGAATCTAAGAAAGATGAGATATCAAACAAACTTTTAATATATGCTGGAATAAATGGATCTGCACAATGTCTTCCAAGAAGGTCATTCATATAGATCTTGTAATATTTCTAAAATATCCCCATAAATCTGTAATATTTCATTTGTGTTTATTACAGATAATTTTGAGGGTTTTAAATACTTGTTATTTTTTCCCCACAATATTCAATAATTTTTGTTGTTGTTCTTTTGAAAGGTGACCTATGTGCTGCTGATTGTTAGATCATTAATGGCAATACATTCCTTATTTTTTGCATTGATATATGTAGTCTGTGCAATTCATATTCCTGGAAATGTTAGTGTGCAATGTAAGCTGTTCTTGGGTTTAACAATTGTATGGAACTGTAGCAATAAGATTATGGGGATGGTAGATTTTTTGATGTGTATATTTGTAACCAGAATTTTTGTTCTAGCTTTGTAGTTTCACTTTATATACATGTATATGTCTCTTTAACATGTCATTTTACAGACATCAATATGTGTTGAACTTCTATATAAATGTCTATTATGAAAAAATGAATGCAGTACAAATAGTCTTTTATGCTAATCCATCATCTTTCTAAGGTTATAGCTAATTAATGAAACTTGGTAATTCAAGTAAAACCAATTTTCAGTTGTGTGCAGTTTATAACATCAAGAATATTTCTGCATTATCAAATTTACCCTAAAACAAATTAAGAGATCACACTACAGGTGGTGTGCCAATAAATTTTGACATTAGAAGAGAATATCATATTGAAGCTTCGCACACTGTTTTCATGTTTAACCATCAGTATGTGCAAGCTCCCATGATGCTTCAGCACAAGAATGCACAATTATAACTATGGTCATTGCCACTAAAATCTACAACTAGAAGTCAAAAAGTCACTGAGAGAATAATTTTCAAATTACAAAGTTATTGCATAATTTATTTCGGACACTGTGTGTTTGCGATTCATTGCTGCCCAACAGGTGAATTCACAGAAAATGACAATTAGATAGGTGGTAGAGGGCAGAGGATTCTGCACAAAATAAAAAAAAATGACGTACAATCATTTAAACTGAAAAACCTAAAAATACACAGACTTACATGTATCAACACAAATCTTCCAAAGATAGAACCAAATTATCAAAGAATTAGCTGTGGCCTCACTTCAAGGAGGATTAATTGCCATGTAGGGAAATTTAAAAGAAGTTTTTTTTATTGACCATCTCAAAACCTCTGGATGTGGTAGGAGATGATGGTTTAATGTTTGCTGGGGATCTTTTCAGTGTATGGTAAATGATTGAGTATCATCAGAACATGCATTTGGAATTTCAGATACCTACTGGTTTCTCTAGCAATGTATTTGTTATTCACCAACTAATTCAATTACCAAATCTTAGGAATATTTTTGCAAGACAACAATCTAACAGATGTTACTTATTTGTTGTAGCATGTCAGATACACAGCATTATATGTTGTTTGTTTCTCTGAAAGAAAATTTTTATGCCCCCGGATCGAAAGATCCCGGGGGTATATTGTTTTTGTCCTGTCTGTCTGTTTGTCTGTTTGTCTGTTTATCTGTTTGTCCGTTTGTCTGTCTGTCTGTTGTCAACTTTAACCTTGCCCATAACTTTTGATTGGTTGGAGCTATGACTTTCATATTTCACATGTGTATTCCTTGTGACAAGACCTTTCTTTGGGTACCATCATATTTGACCTTTTGACCTTGACCTTGGAGTTTGACCTACTTTTGCAAAATTTTATGAGACTTTAACCTTAGCCATAACTTCTGAACAGTTGGTGCTTGGGGTTTCAGACTTCACATGTGTATTCTTTGTGACAAGGCCTTCCTTTGGATACCAACAACTTTGACCTTTTGACCTTGACCTTGGAGTTTGAAAAACTTTAACCTTGGCCATAACTTTTGAACAGTTGGTGCATAGGGTTTCAAACTTCACATGTGTATTCCTTGTGACAAGACCTTCCTCTGGATATCAACCAATTTGACCCTTTGACCTTGACCTAGGAGTTTGACCTACTTTTGAAAAACATTAACCTTGGCCATAACTTTTGAATGGTTGGAGCTAGGGCTTTCATACTTCACATATGTAATCTTTGCGACAAGACCTTCCTTTGGATACCAACCACCACTTTGACCTTTTGACCTTGACCTAGGAGTTTGACCTACTTTTGAAAAACTTTAACTTTGGCCATAACTTTTGAATGTTTGATGCTAGGGCTTTCATACTTCACATATGTAATCCTTGTGACAAGACCTTCCTTTGGATACCAACCTATTTGACCCTTTGACCTTGACCTAGGAGTTTGATCTACTTTTGAAAAACTTTAACCTTGGCCATAACTTTTGAATGGTTGGTGCTAGGGCTTTCATACTTCACATTTGTAATCCTTGTGACAAGATCTTCCTTTGGATACCAACCACTTTGACCTTGACCTTGACGTTTGACTTTTATTCAAAAAACTTTAACCTTCGCCATAACTTCTGAACAGTTGTATCTAGGTCTTTCAAATTTCATAGGTGTATTCCTCGAGACAAGACCTTTCTTTGGGTATCAACATTTCTTATCTTTTGGCCTGGATTTTGACTTGCATTTGAAGAAACTTTAACCTTTGCCATAAGCTGCCATACGGGGGCATCAGTGTTTCACAAACACATCTTGTTTTTTTTTTGTTCATACTCTAGAATGAATTTTTAAAAAAAAATTTGGTCAAGCATGAAATGCTCTCATAAATTTTAATGCAGACAATTTTATGGGGACACCTCTTGTTGAGAAAAGACCTCAACCCTTTCCAAACATTGTTTTAATGAAAAATTAATATTTAAACATCAAAGTCATAGCTCATCAATTAACGATTAACATAGAAGTAATGTGGCATACGATATAGTATGAACCAACGAGATCAAATCTCAGGCAGGAAATTTTACTTTGCTATGAAAATCATTATCATTAAACCCCCATACGATTGCAGAGAGTATAATGTTTTTGACCCGTCCATCAGTCTTGTTCTTATCGGCGCAACTGCTCTAAAAATGCTGGGTGCTTAGGCTTTCATATTTACCAGGTATATCCATTGACACAAGTCCTTTCTTTGGATAACAACATTTTTGTTCTCTTGACCTTGACTTGCATTTGAGAAACTTTAACCTTCTCCATAAGCTGCCATATGGGGGCATCAGTGTTTCACAAATACATCTTGTTTCTTGGAGGTATGCCCCTTTCGGAAGTTTGGCCTCCATCAATCCCATTTTTGTCAGCGCAACTTCTCTGAAATTGCTGAATAGTTTCATGAAACTTTTAGTGAATAAGGACATACTGTGTTGATGTGCATATTCACAGGAAATGCCGATTCAATATATTTCTTTCCTGGGAAATATGCCTCTGTTTAACGTAGAAGTCTGACCAAAATTAAGTCTACTAAAACAGTTCCTAAGTGCAACTCCTCTGAAACTGCTTAACAGAATTTCATGTAATTTTGTAGTTTATATGGATATACTGTAATTGTGCATATTCACAGAAGATTCTTATTCATTTTTTTTTCTTTTACCTGAGTTATGCCCCTTTTGAACATACAAGTTTCACCAAAATATTCTATGTGAAACCCATTTAGTTATAAATCTTTTTATAATATAAAATATAAAGGTGAGCATCTGAGAGCCTAATGCCATTGATGCCTTGCATGATATTGATTTAAACATGTCAAAAGAGAAAGGGAGGTCGGGGGGGTTTAATCGTTTGTTGTATTTAATTAATGCAAAGCATTGACATTATGTGTAGCATTGTCAAGCAATGTGGGAGCATGGGCTATGCGAGTTTGCTTAATTTTTCTTTCATTAATTCTTAAAACTATAAATCATTACGATTTATGGAGAACATTTGATGTATGAAATTTAATGCATTTAAAAAGCATTCCGCTTCTTATCAATCCAGAAGGAAGAGTTTTTGTTTGCATGAATTTGATGCAATGTGAAAGACTAATTCTCTTATATTAATAGAAGAATAGGGTTTACCCAAATCGTACACATACATGTATGTCAAACAGGTTTAAAAATGTGCACTAAAGCCTATATCACAAGTTATCATGCTAGTGGTAGCACGTATTTTTTTTAGTTCACAGCCTAGTGCTAAGCACTTTCCTACTAAACCTTAAATCCAGAAAAGATTTCACTACATTATATTACTTTTACATGAAATAGTATGAAATAGTATAATATGATACTTTAGAGTTCAAAAAGCCCTTTGGTGCATGAAAACAGAAAACAAACAGAAAAAATATTATGTGTACAAGTTCATTTAATCTTGGGCACAAAATACAAGTGTATGTCTATCAATAGCTTTTCAGAGAAACACAGATATAATTTTGCTTTCTAATTAAGCCTTGAAAAAGCTGACACACTTAAAACTAAATTCTCCAGCACTTTTCTTCCCTGTAACAGACAAATTCTTTCTGTAATCTTCAGGACAGAGTCTCTCTTGCCATATCTTTATACAAATACATTATCTATTTATATAACAAAATAATTTGCATCCTCCAACAACCATATACACATTTAATCTGAATTCTAATCCAATTTGATATCAACGCAACAACAGAGTATGCACATTCCAAACATTTACAGTGTATTAAATCAAAAAATGTAGGACAAAGCAGAAAAAATAACAACACAAGAGGAATTAAACAGGTTAACCCTTTCACTTAAAAGTCAATGTATATTGTAACTGAATAACTTTTGTACATTATAACAACAGCACTGAATTTATAAATATGCATATATTTCCAGGGACAAAATAAAATCAAACACATATTTTTATATAAAAGTGTTATCACAGAAAAAAATGTAGAATGAAAACTATATCTTGAATAGTACTAGTCTTTCACCAAATGTACATAAGTAATGATAAAAAAAAATGTAAGCTTAACAATCAGAATGGCAGAGTATATTATAAACAGGGTATCTTGTCATAACAGGGTATCTAACCCAATGCAGCATGGAAGTTGAATATTCATGAGGATACTCAAATGCATACAATTAATACAGGTTTGTCTAAGCTATCAAACAATTTACATGTGTACTCTATATTTCTGGAGAAGCATATACCTATTGAGTAGAGCACTGATTTTCAATTGTTAATTATGGTGCGTTTCAATGAAGTGGTAAGAAGCTGAATACAAAAGGTCAGTAGGAGATTCAGTGCCATTTTAAGATTGGTGATAACAATTAAAACTGACTACTATACACTGAAGACAGAAATTTAAAAAAAATTTTGTTTGTTTTTTTCTTTTTTTAAATCAATTTTTTTGGTCTTCAATTCTCCTGTAATTAAGAAATGCAATATTCTTCATCACTACATTAAATAATGTACAAAAAACAGCTCTTTTAAATACCATGTGAACTGAAACTTGGAACACTTTCAGTAAACAAAATAAAATATTGTTCATCAAATTGCAGCACTGATAAGCTTAGTGCCTGTTGTGCATCCAATCATTGTCTGACTGATTGAGAAGTTCTGCCAGAACTTTGTCCAGGTCATAGTTGTGTTTGTTGAGCAATTCCTGGTTTCTCTGTCTGTTACAGAAGCCCATCTCTATGAGTTTCTTCATTGGACCAGAGTCTGTTGACTTGGGTACCCACTTTTCCTCCTTTGGCTTCCATTTTGCGGCCTTTGGTTTCCATGTTGATTTGGGAACCAGGTATTCTTTTCCTTCCTGGGAAGTACCGTTCTAAAAAGGCATTCATCAGTGTACAACTCTATAAGTGTTATCATTATTTACAGCAAACTTACATAAATTCATTGTGTAATGTATAAATATTACATGAAAGCTGTTTGAATTGAATGTGCTGATCATGATTTGACAATGATAAATGGAGACTTATTTTTGGCTTTACCTGGTATGTTCTGGCTTGCCAGGTGTAGAAGACTTCCTTACAGGTAGTATAAGCATTAGCAGCAGCACGATTGGCTGCTTTCACTGCAGTGGTCACCATCTGATTCACCATCTCACCAGCAACGGGCCTGTACATAAATCATTGTTCACATTATTCCTAGCTGTCAAGATAGTGTACACAATATTTCAATACATTAAGATTTCTTTTGCAAACTTACATTTCATATCCTTCAGCTTTATCCCCTTTGTTTTGATCCCCATGGTGAGCCCCACCTGTGCACACATCTCCCTGAGGAAGGGCCTCTTTGACCTCAGTTGTATCAAGAGGTGAGCAGGCTTGATCCTCAGTTTGATTGTTGGTTGCCTCCCCTGTCTCATTAGACTGTTCCATTAATGGAACATTTGTGGCACTGATCTCCTCTGTTTCAACAGCTTGTTCGATAATTGTTGTATTTGTAGCACTCACTTCCCCTGTTTCTGTATTTGTTGATGGAACATCAAGATTTCCTGGTAAATATTAAATTCTGATTAAAGCATTTCACCTTGCAATAAAGAGCTTCTTTCACCATTTTAAGGGTGAAAGAACATTGAACTTTGTTTAATCCAGCTGATATTATTTGAATGTACCTGATGCTCCTATTTCCCTCTCTGTTCTTATTTCCTCCCTGACTCCCCCCTGGGCTGGAGCTGTCAATATCTCTGGTGCACTCTGGCTGAGATCATCTACCAGTGCAGGAGAGGCTGGTGAAGGGATGAGTGGATCCAGTGGGGGTGTAGACACTGAATTTGAAGCAGTCAGAATATCATCCACAGAGGGAGGACCTGCATGCAAAATGTTATAATCACTCCAAACCAAAACATGCTGTTATAATGCTAGCATAGCTGTGCCACAGGCATGCACTACTATTATTTTAGCCCTCACAAAAAAATTATATTAAAATAAAATTTGAATAAAAACAATTAAAAATAATGAAATAAACATCAATTATGGTACAGTTATCAGATAAAAAGAAAAATTAATAAAAATAGAAAGAAAAATGTTTGCTTGTCTGAAGCCAAGGGTAACATGAAAAGAAACAAAAATGCTAATTTAAAAAAATGACATAAGCATACACATTAAATTACTTGTAATTTATACTTTTGGATTATATTTCACACACCACTCTAAAGAAAATATAGTCGATGCACAATCACACAAGAGCTAAATGTACAGTTTTGAACTAGAAACTAGTAATATTTATTAATGATACAATTCAGACAATCTATTAATATACAAAATAAAAAGAAATCAATCTACCCTCAATTCAAAATGTGATATCTTACTTGTGACAATGTTGTTGTGGTTGTCATCAAGCACGTTATGGTTGTTGTCTGTTGTTTCATTGTCTGAGGAGCTTTCTGACACCTGTGGTCTGATGACAGGCTTACTGAAGTCAAAACAGGCAGGCATGGGAACAATGAGGAAATCGTCATCCTCACTGAGGCTGTCATCTTCCTCAGAGGAGTACTGTACCTCTGCTGGTAAACAATGCATACAACAAAGATAAGTTTTTTCTCTTTCTCAAACTGTCTCATAACCTATTGAGACTTACAACTAGGTCTAGTTAACACTCGTAATATAAATTTAACCAAACTCTGTGATTTATGCACTTCCTATTTTCTTAGTTAGACTCGTTAAAAAAAAATTTTACAAAAGAAAGAAGTTGAACTGTATATATAAATACATTTTGTAATAAAATTCAAAAACTATGGAGGACTAAAAGAGCTAGGTACGTTAGCTAATGTCAACAGGCCCTGCAAAATGCTTAAAAAATAAAGTTTGCGTATCCTCACTGACAATGTATATTTATAAAGTTTATGATCCTAAGTCCTTGTATATGTAAATGTTTGGGCGGATCCAAGCCTCTTATGCTGCTATGTAATATCCAAACCTATGCCGTTTCCGGAAAACAAGCAATTTTCTTCACTTTTCACCCGGTTTTTGGGAAAATTCGATGTGGCCACACGCATCGGCCACGTAGATATTTTAACCAGAAATACTATTACATAAAAGGGATTGATTTATACAGGTTTCGTTCTGGCCGTAGGCTGTGGCCACATTGAATTTTTACAAATTCTGATATTATCAGTCGTCTGCTATACGGATCTTGACGTGAGGGGAATGGAATATTAGCTTGGTAATTTGATTACATTCGTAGAAAATAAATAACAATTGAATACATGTTTATTTTATAGAAATCTAAATGATAAAATGCATTACTTTAATAACTCATTTGTAAAAATTTCGTATCCGCGACCACCTTTTTAACTTTCGTTTTCATTCCAGGCAACATTTCGGGAACAAGCAAAACTCAGGCAAATGTACACATAAAACGTCTAAATTTCTGAAGGTCTGTTGTAAAAAGGTTTATCTGAGATGTTTTAGGGTTGTTAAGTTTATAAAAAGGCATCTTATGTTTATTTTAAGGCAAAACCCTAACATCTCCAGGTTGTACATCGAACTCTAAATATAGACGTCCTCGTTGTTTACATTGACAACGTACAGTGACGCGCCAAAAGTTTTTCTCATTTTTCAGTCTTTCGTTCGAATATTTTACTGTAAACAATACGTTGTTTTATCAAACATTTTGATAAAAAATAATTGAGAATTTCTCATAGTAAGAGAAAACTGTATTCAGATGATTCATTGTAGATATAAAAAAAATCTCAAATTAACGACTTTTTATTATCCGTAAAAATGCTGGAAAGTTTACATGTTTCAATGCACAGATGAATTATTTTAATATTATAGCACTTACACCCTTTCTCCAAAAGCTTAATTAGTACATACTTATACTTATATTTAACGTATGATAATCTTTCAATGAATTAAATTTATATACCATCACATAGAAACGAAAAAAAAAACCATACACAATTTAATGTTTTTATGTCTTCTCAAAAATAATTGAAATGATAATTGAGAACAGTAGAGACATAAGTATATGTTATTTATGTCCCTGAAAACAGAGAAACAATGCGGTTAAATTCAGGGGGGGGGGGGGAAGAAGAATGGGGAAATTACATATAACTATTAAGTTTTCCTTCAGAGAAGTTAAGATGAGAATATTAATAAAATAATATTCGACTAACATGATTCTCATTATAATAAAAACTTATGAATGGGACAGCAGCTTCATATAATTTTGTGAAATTCTAAGATACTGAAAATATTTTTTAAAATTTATTTTATATATCTATAATTTTTTTCTAAGTCATTTATTTTACACCCTCCCTTTTGTGACAGGAAAAACTCTCCAAAATATTTGCAAATTCATTGATTCTTACTAAATCAAATGATATTAATAATTAAAATATCTTCCTATGAGATACACATGTATACAATTTGATACTATACAATTATTGCATGACGTGAGGAAAATATGTAGATTTATTCAGCAAAGAAAAATTATACGAATTTTTTTGGTTGAATAAATCTTCATTTTTCCGTAATATTCATGCAATAGATTCTTATTATACCGAAACAAGCAAGGCCTTTAAAAATAAACACAAACTTTCAAAAAGTTACTGGAACACTTAACCGAAGTCCCTTGGACACTTCGTAGGGGTGAAACGATACACCTCCTTCACGGTTCGATACGTATTGTATAATTTTGTCTCGGTTCGGTTATTTTCGATACGATACATTTTGATAGAAGGAAATGAATTCAACGTTGTTTTATGCTTTTTTTTTTCTAAATCTAGTCAGATATTTTACGAATTTTATTTGCAAATTGACTAGAAGAAATTGATTAAAATTATTTGACTGTCAAAAATTATTTTACAAGCTATCAGTCATCAAAAATTTGCTGAGTAAAGTGTTTTACCTTATGCCAAACCCGACTGAATAACGATCCCGATCGAAAAATGAACCGAACCGAAAATTAGAGATTTTGCACCGTGTATCAAACCGAGAAAAAATACCGCGGTGTATTGATACCGCGGTGAACCGTTTCACTCCTAACACTTCGTATTTAGATTTCTTTCTTTCTTTCTTTTTTTTTTTTTTTTTTTTAATTGAAGAAGACCGCCAATTTTGTCATTGCATTCAATGCCTTTATTTTAAATTTTGTGATGTCTGCTGTTGTCGGGAGTTTCGTCAACGAACGATTTATAAGTATCGCGAGAAAATGCACTTGGTTTTCCTAGGAGGTTAAATATGATGAAAAGCATGACGACGACAGGGAAATATGAAGTTTTATGGCCCCGTTACGTGACAATTTAGAACCAATCAGATAACGCGTTGTATAGAATAATTATGATGAGGTATAAAAATAAGATGTATGTGTAGGGGGAGAATCCCACTTAGGCTTTTTACAAGCTTATATATCATACTTAAAATCTCGAAAATCGGAAAGTTGAACTACTTGGCCAGGTGTCTCAAGGTAAACCCCCCCCCCGACCCTTGCCTCTGAAATCCCCCTTCACCAACTCAGGTGACATACGTACCAGGTAGATACTAGTATTGTATTTTGGATATAGAACATTTTAGCGTTACAATATAAAGACTCAGGAGAATTATTTTCAGATCTTAATTGCAGCCCGGAGGACCGGGCTGCTCTATACATATAAGTTTAAGTGTTGGTATATGGGGATTGAGGTGGGAGAAGTTATTCAGAATTAAAGGTTTTCTAAACATTAAAAAGATCGTTAATCAGAATGTTCTTTCCCTTTATAAATTACGAGATACACAATATGTTTACTTCCATAAAGTGAATCTGTAAAAATATATATGTTTTTCATATTTAATATATAAAGTTGCTTATCATTTACTATCGAAAAAACGACAGGTCCCTTTTTTTAGAACATCGAATTTTACTTATCGCATAAAAACGTAAAAAAGTAATTTACACAGTTCGTGTTTTATATTCTTTAAGTGAAAGACATTTTTGAAAATAGGTGATGCATGTGTCTGGTTTCAAATTATATTTTATGCAGCCAACATTTACTTGAGGAATTGATAAAGTTCAAAAGGGTATCGTTTTTGTTCGATTTTCGTCCGACTATAAGTTTTCAAAATATTCTCGACTATCGTCTCCATCATTTAGACGCATGCCTTTTTCACACATATCGAAGCGGTTTGATGATCAAGACTCATTTTCATTGTTTACTTTATTTATTTCCCGGGCGACAATTGATGGCTACATCAATGTTTTCTTGTTTCTTGTTGTTGTTTGTCCCCAGACGATCAACAGTCAGGTTCTAAAGCTGAAACCACGAGAGGAATGAATTCAACATGACGCTAGTTGATGCGTTATTAAAAGTCATGTTTGTTTCACCTTATGCTTACAGTCATTTTGAAAAACCCCGCGTTTCGAGACACTGGTAACCTTATCGCTGTACTTTGTATCCAACTTAAGACAACCCAACGTAATAACTTTTTTTGTAAAAAAAATAAATCGACATCTTTATGGTCGCAGATAAGTGCGTATTGCCCAGGGTTGAAATATTACAACCTTTTTATGAAGGGTTGAAAAAATATACCTATCTATTATAAACCAAGTCAAAGCTTAATAAAGATTAAATATGTCATGTAGGAGATGAGTCGACCATCTTAATTTTCTGATATTTTTAATATCGATTATTGGAGGGATGATGGATATGTTCAGAAAACAAACAACGTCCAATCATAAAGTTATGTGTTGATATGGTAAAAACGGCGTCAGAGACATAATTAATGATTGTTAAAATTACTGGGAATAATCAAAATATTCTTTAACTCATTTGACAAAGCAATTCATCATATATTTCACAAAGTTTTAGAAGAAAAGTATTGTCTGAATTCCCCATTAGACAGATTAAATTAAATTTTATTACTACCATTATTAGAATTTACATCAGCTGTTTTGTATGGCTTTGCAAGTCTCCTGTTGGTAAATTAGGAAAATGATTTTAATTTATTCTTTGTTAGTTGACACCTTTGTCTGTGGTCCAAATTCAAAGATCAATTTGCAAGGTCATCGTAAACTTAAAGAAAATGCTGGTGGAAATGATGGAAGCATGTCACCTAAAGCCCGACTCTGACTCAAAGATATGTAATTTAGATCCAGTCTATACTATATGTATGAATTTTGACAAATAAAAAAAGTTAACTTTGACGTATAGTTCACAAGGAACCTTAGGGTCAACTTTGATTTTTTTTTTTAATTATTTGATATACCAGTAGCTTACTTTCAACCCCCCCCCTTCCTCCCTTTCTTAGCGCAGTATAGCGACCTAGAATATGTTTTTACTTTAAACAAAACCTTGAAGTGACTCAGAATTTCAGGATTCTGAAGTCAATGAATTTTACTAGATATTTCTTAAGTTGCAGGCACGTAGTATCGGTTTTGAAATGCGGGGGGGGGGGGGGGGGGGGGGAGAGAAAACTTGAAAATCCCATTTCGTGGGAGGAAGGTCCAACTTCTCAACTTCTTCCACATCAATTTTTTTCATACATCACCACATAACCCTGCAAGAAAAAGTGGGGGAAGGGAGCTACTAGCCCTTCAATGGACATTTTCGATAGAAAATGTAATGTTCGAAAAAAAGGGGGTCAGCCCCCCCCCCCCCCCCAATACTTCGAGCCTGAGTTATTATTACATCCTGGTGATATAATTCCTTATTATTTTGCTTCCCATTGATCTCTTTTGCATGAATAATTTAATAATTTTTAAAAATTGTATTGATTTATCTCAAAAAGGGCGATTTTCGGTAATATAAAATTATAATTTGAACCTTAGTGCAAATAGGTCAAAATTAATGCTAAAGTTAGTTATATTTCCTCGTTAACTGTTCTTGTTTGTTAATAAAAGCTTCATTTCTTTTTGCATTCTCTATCTTTTTTTTAAACATTCCCGAAAAAATAAATTTATTTGTGGAGAAAAACAGACTGCACATTATGCAAACAATTTTGACTGCAGTTATGATATTCAGGTATATCGATACTATGGAGGTCATTTATTCTTTAAAACATTCTTTTTGTGCAATATTTTTTTTAAAGTAAATAAACTATGCAATGTAAACATTTTATTGTAAGATTTTTTTTACGTATAACATACATTGATACATTATATTAAGTTGTTATTTAAATGTACTAAATTGACAACAATAATGACGTCATAGTGCTCAAAGCGTTTAAATGCAATAAAATACATTCCATTTTTAGAGGGCTATTACAACTAAACTATGAAAGGTAGATAAAAATTATTGATATATTTATAAAGTTTACATCCTCAACTCATTTCTTTATAATTATTTTAAATTTTCAAAGAAGGGCCGATTTTCACTACTAACGTACCTGGCTCTTTGTATGCATTTTAATTCAGCCCCTTCCAGAATTTACCTGGTTGAGGGATGGGCAGACTGCTCATGTAATTCTCCACAAATTCTTTGTCAATGATCTCTGTTTTTTCTGTGTAGTCTTCTGGGTTTAAAAGTTCAACACTGCTGGTCCTTGACAAACTGCCCTCTTCTGGCAATGGCGACTTAGGAGGGGACACAACTGTTGGTGCAACACATATAATAAATTGATTTGGTGATCCAATATAAAGCACAAATATTTATGTCAACAAAATATTTCCATTTTTTCTTTTAAACCTTGAAAATGAAAATGCAGTTTTCTAAGTTTTTGTGTGCACATTTTCACCCTTTTTTCCATCCTTTTCTTAAAGGATAACAATAATTACTATATGCTTCTAAGCTTTTGTAAATGTGACCTTGAACTTGCCAAAATGACCTTGGTTAAAAACAAGAGGCCCATGGGCCACATCGCTCACCTGAGTAACTTTGGCCATGCTGTTCTTTACCAGATTTCCCCCCTTTTAATATACCTATTGTGGCCCCGCCCTACCCCAGGGGAACAAAATTTGAACAATTTAGAATCTACACTACCTCTGGATGCTTCCAAATATGTCTCAGCTTTATTGGTCCAGTGGTTCTTGAAAAGAAGATTTTTAAAGATTTTTCTTATATATTTCAATGTAAAACTTGGATTCCCTATTGTGTCCCGCCCTACCCCCGGGGGTCAAGATTTGAATAATTTAGAATCTACACTACCCCAGGATGCTTCCTTATAAGTTTCAGCTTTTCTGGCCCAGTGGTTCTTGAGAAGGCCCAGTGGTTCTTGAGAAGAAGATTTTTAAAGATTTTTCTTCTGTATATCAATGTAAAACTTGAATTCCCTATTATGGCCCCGCCCTACCCCCGGGGGTCATGATTTAAACAATTTAGAATCTACACTACCCCAGGATGCTTCCATATAAGTTTCAGCTTTTCTGGCCCAGTGGTTTTTGAGAAGAAGATTTTTTAAGATTTTTCCTATATATTTCAATGTCAAACTTGGATTCCCTACTGTGGCCCCGCCCTACCCCCGGGGGTCATGATTTGAACAATTTAGATTCTACACTACCCCAGGATGCTTCCATATAAGTTTCAGTATTTCTGGCCCAGTGGTTCTTGAGAAGAAGATTTTTTAAGATTTTTCCTATATATTTCAATATCAAACTTGGATTCCCTATTGTGGCCCCGCCCTACCCCGGGGGTCATGATTTGAACAACTTAGATTCTACACTACCCCAGAATGCTTCCATATAAGTTTCAGTATTTCTGGCCCAGTGGTTCTTGAGAAGAAGATTTTTTAAGATTTTCCTATATATTTCAATGTCAAACTTGGATTCCCTATTGTGGCCCCGCCCTACCCCCGGGGGTCATGATTTGAACAATTTAGATTCTACACTACCTCAGGATGCTTCCATTTAAGTTTCAGCTTTTCTGGCCCAGTGGTTCTTGAGAAGAAGATTTTTTAAGATTTTTCCTATATATTTCAATGTCAAACTTGGATTCCCTATTGTGGCCCCGCCCTTCCCCCGGGGGGTCATGATTTGAACAATTTAGAATCTACACTACCCCAGGATGCTTCCATATAAGTTTCAGCTTTTCTGGCCCAGTGGTTCTTGAGAAGAAGATTTTTTAAGATTTTTCCTATATATTTCAATGTCAAACTTGGATTCCCTATTGTGGCCCCGCCCTTCCCCCGGGGGTCATGATTTGAACAATTTAGAATCTACACTACCCCAGGATGCTTCCATATAAGTTTCAGCTTTTCTGGCCCAGTGGTTCTTGAGAAGAAGATTTTTTAAGATTTTTCTTATGTATTTCAATGTCAAACTTGGATTCCCTATTGTGGCCCCGCCCTACCCCCGGGGGTCATGATTTTAACAATTTAAAATTTACACTACCCCAGGATGTTTCCACATAAGTTTCAGCTTTTCTGGCCCAGTGGTTCTTGAGAAGAAGATTTTTTAATGACCCCACCCTATTTTTGTCTTTTCTTGATTATCTCCCCTTGTAAGGGGACTTGGCCCTTTATTTTAACAATTTACACTCCCCTTCACCAAAGGATACTTTGTACCAAGTTTGGTTAAAATTGGCCCAGTGGTTCTTGAGAAGAAGTTGAAAATGTGAAAAGTTTACAGACGGACGGACAGACGGACGGACGGACAGACGGACAGACGGACGGACGACGGACAACGGGTGATCAGAAAAGCTCACTTGAGCTTTAAGCTCAGGTGAGCTAAAAATGATAGATCCTCTGGTTATAAGTTATCTTTAAGTGAAAAACATCCAATTTTCTCCATTAGAAAAATACAGACCTGACATGAATTTTACACTTTTCTGCCAGTGACCCTGGGTTTAGGTTTTGACTTACTTTTAGCTCACAAATAATCTTCTGACAAAAAATTTATACTTTTTCTGCCAGTGACCTTCAACTTGCCAGAATGATCTTGAGTGAAGGTCATGCCACACACTCATGTCATAAACAATCTTTGTACCAAGTATGAGCTTCCAATGATTCTCCATTAGAAAGTTATAGCCCAGAAAAGATTGCATGGACAGGTCGACAAACAGACAGATAAACAAGGTCATTCCTATGTAAAAATTCTTTACTTACCAAGTGGAGTGTTGTTGGGTGTGGCTGTCTGAGACATCTTGTTAGATCCCCTGGATGCCATGTCAAGCATTTCAAATGACATTAGATCCTGTCCTGTCTCTTCGGACACAGTGGGCTTCTGCTGGGCATCCAACTGTAACTGGGCCATGGCAGCAGCTGCTGTGGTCAATTCTTGCTCCAGTTTCTGGACAGTCTCATTGTTTATGGTCTCAGAGGATTGGTTCTCTGATTTCTTTTCAAACTGAATTGGACTTTTCTCAATTAGGAACTCTGTTTCATCCTTTTCCTTGGATTCTGCAAAGCTTTCATCTGCATGATCTGTCAGGGTTTTCACTTCCTGTTTAATCAAATAAATTTAATTTCATTTTCTTTATTCATTAATACTAGATATGAATATACTGTACTATAAATCTCTGACAATAGTTCTACTAGTTTGATCTTACAAATTTTGCTCCTGGTCTTGTAATACTTGTAGCAAGTTTTAAGAAATCAAATCAATTTAAAGAATTTCACAGATAATCCTACTTTTAATAACCCTGGCACAGTTCATTAAAGCCAAAATTAACACATATTAACTGGACCATCCATAGAACACATATATCAAAACTGAACCAAATCTGTAAAAGTATGTTGAGAGAATTTCAAAATATATAATAAATATGTATTTTTTGAACAGTAAATTATGGTAACATCATTTGAAATCAAAATTGATGCTATTTGTGCACCACAATTTTCTTAAAATTGGAGCAAAATAATAGGAGGAGCAGCATTTTCACAGGAATTTTTTTTTCTAATTTCAATAACTATGGCAACACTATGGTAAAGGTAAATCAAAACTGTAATAAATATATACATGTACATGTTTATATATATTTATTTATATGTGTGTGTGTGTGTATGTACAATTATGATTATTTTAAAACTATTTCATATCCATAACATTGACAGAATTACAAGAGAACTGTAATATCAGTCATATGGACTCAGCTTACAAAATAGCTTTTTATCCTTTACCTGTCTGTCTGATTTTGACTCTTCATTGACAATTCTCAGTGAATCCTCTGATTTATTTGGTTCTAGAACCAGTTTTGGTTCTACCTGTACCAGGCACCAGACTCGATGTCCAAACTGGTGACCGGAATCCAGCATCTTCCAGTGACTCTGATACTTCCCTGTTCACAGGGGGAAAAAAAACCTCAATGAATCACTCAAAACTTATCGTGAGTTTTTTAAAGAAAAAATAGTACAAGGCAGGAAGTCCCACCAACATGTGTTACCAAAAAATATCTAGAATTTAAAATAGACAAATATAAATATACTCAGGCTTTAAATTTTCAAAATACTAACCTGGTTCCTCTGGGGCAAAGAATGTGACAGAGATATCAGCTGTCTCCCCAGGGTTAAGGAGAGGGACATCAGTATCAGAGGAGGGAGTTGGTAGGTCTCCAGAGATGTTATGAAGCTATAAAAAATAACAGACATCAGTAGTAATATTCCTATTAAGACATTTAGCTAAATTTCCTTCTTCAGATTCAGAATGAGATAGAGAAATCTACAATGTGAACATACTTTAGTTGTTTCCCTCCATGAGATATTTCCAGAATTTCTGATTTTCCAGGTTTTTACAAATTTGGTCCCTGGTTGTACTTTGGTTCCATCAGGGATGGTCAGGTCTCCCATGAATTGGGCCTTCATGTCTTTCAAAACATCCCTAAAGCACAAAGCTTTAAGTGTACACAATGCTATACAATTTTTTAAATTTTTTTTTACAAGTTCTAATTACTGAATTGTGAAGTCTTTTCCTTTTGAATTACATGTACATGTATTGTCAAACATTTCATAGTTATTATCAATTTTATCATTTGTGACACAAATACAAAACAAGAGTTTCTTACTTACAGGGAATTACAATAATAATGTAACTTCTTTATTAAAACAATTCTTTCTGTGATTCTTTGTATCACAAACATTATTAAAAAAGATTCATGTTTGCATGGCAAGCTTACAATTTCATTTTCAACTTTTCTATTGTCTTCTCTTGTTTTTGTTTTATCTTTTCTTGCTTCATTGCTGCTTTTGCTTGTACTCTACAAACAAAATAGACAATGAAAGTCTATTTCAATTCAAAATGGCAGGAAATGATGTTAGAAAGTGGATAAGGAATACGAAAGAAGAGAATTTGATAGGGTGATGGTTAGAAAAGATGGCAAAGGAAAAGATTTCACAATTAGGCAATATCAATATAATACGGCCCAAGGACCATCCTGGGGAAGACCGAGGCCAAAAAGTTGCTTCTGAGATCCAAACTTCACAATAAATTATCACAAAAGCAAAGTTTAAGTCACCTTAACATTTCACCCCCTCTTTTTTTTCAATCATAAAAATTCTATTAAGAACATGCAGTAATATTATGACTATTTTATAAATCTCTTTGGTATTATCACTGCTTAAATAGGTGAATAACAGTAAGGCACTTGCACCTGTTTAACTGCTAATGACCACTGCATCAAATACTTGATTGCAACTCCTCTAGAATTTACTCTTCAGCATAGAAAATACTCATTAAAAGTTTTACACAAGACGCAAAATACAGGTACATGTAGCTAAGTAGCTATCGATGTATTGCCAAAGATTTTGGAGTTGATTTTAAACCTTCTTATTGTCAAAAGATTAATTCATGCTGTGAATATGAATTATTTTACAGTTCAATTTTAGAGCAATTAACTGTCTTGAGCAATTGCACGTGAAAAACAGGGCTGATTGTACGATGAAGTCCCTCAATTAGCATGCAGTATTTCATCTAATTTTCAAATTAAAGTAATGCATTTATTATTTTTGTTTTCATTTATTAATAAAAACACATTCACCTTAAAAAAAAAGATGATAAGTCTTTAAGTTGAGACAATTTTAGATTGACAATGTGTAATTTTCTTTCCCTGCTAGATATTTAGATGTCTTGTAATTAGAAAATAAAATATTTTTTTTTAAATATACCTTTTAGTATCTTTCAGTATTTAATGTGATTTTTAATAATACAGGAAATGAATAGGGATGTGCGATTTTACCTGTATACCCCGATTTTTAATTGTGTGATACTGTATCGTGGTACGGAGACTAAAATACCGTTATTTAGGTACATAGTTATAAATTCCTGAAATCATTCATTTATTCTTTCAATCTTTCATATTACAATTACAGGAAGTGTAAAAAATAATGAAAACCGTAAAAGAATAGCATCCTAGCATCCAAAATTGCTTGATATTATGTAAATAAAAAATGAAAAAAAAGTGAAGTTATATTTTTCCAGCATATTTTTCGGAAAAAATATGAACATTCATTTAAAATCATTGCAAAAAAATGTTTGTAAAAATATCATGATATTTTGGGGGAAAATCCTGGTATTTCGCGATACGAATTTTTTTGGCAATACCCATCCCTAGGAATGAATGCATTGAAGGATATACATTGACATATTTTTAATATTCTAAAGTTTTAATAATGATCAATAAGCAGTGCAAACACTATAATTAAGAAGTCTGCCTAGAATTTCTCTTAATTTCTGAGGGAAAAGTGATGTCTCCCTAAATTTTGAGTTAAGGTTGGTCCCTGCTGCCAGACTTACTTTTCAATTTTAGCCAGTATTTTGCCCTGTTTTCCACTCTTCAGTGTTATTGCAGCAGCCTCATTTTCATCTGTTTCTTCCTTCTCCTCTGAGGATGTTGGCTGTCGATAAGCTTTGTACAGAATTTGCTTCATGAGAGGGCCCTTCTGCCTGAATCTGATTGGTCGACGGAGTTTGATGAAGACATGGGTAGGATCATGGACTCCACTGACGTTCTCGCATTCCTCACACAGATCATAGTCCACACAATTACTATAATAATTATAGACTTGAGCAATTAAAAACAATAAAAGATATTAAATGTATACATGTTTTGCTTTACTAATTGTTGCTGTACATTTGGTTATTTCATTACTTTATTAGAATAAAGTAATTACTCACCAACACTTGTATCGTGATCCAACAACTACTTTATTGCAGTTGTCACAAATAACACCACAGTGATAGTAAACTTCTGCAAGAATGAATTTGAGTTTCATGTTAATATCTTCCAAAAACAATACAATCACATACAGTATTAATTTTGTTCTATTACAAATGCTAATAAAACTAAATTATACAAAAGATAGCTTACGGTGGACACTGCTGCTGTCTAGCTTGACCTTGTCTGCCATTGGTTTGACCTTGGGTCTCTCATCAGAGGAGGCTGTAGCCCCCTTAGGTTGGTTTTCCGTTCCCTCTCCCCCTTTGTAGCTCTGTAAAACAGCCCCATCCAAACCACGCAACACATGCTTTACAGTCTTTCTAGTCACATCTTTAACAATTTCCGAGTGTAACTCCTTCTTGAGCTGCAAATTCAAAATTACAAAGTTTATCATGTGCAATTTATTTCACATATGCATACATATAACACATGTTCCAAAATTTAATGAATTTAAATTTTAACAAATTATATTAGAAATATTTGAGAAACATATACAGTTGAACTTCGGTATCTCAAACACTGATATCTCGAATACTATGGATAACCACCTATTCTTTAAGTATTTTACCTTGACATCTTGAATACTCAGATGTCTTGAAGTTTTTCACTAGTCTCATCAAGTTGGAAATAACAACTTTTGACTGTACATACATGTACATTGTTGTATATAAAGTAAATATAGATGTCAAGCAGTCTTAAGAAATTCCCACTAACCTCCTTCATGTATTTAATGAAGGCTGGGTATGGAATAGCTTCCTCAGATTTTCGCTCCCCTTGGGAATCCTCCCTATGGCGATGTCCACTCTTCTTTCTTTCAGAGTCTCTAGAGTGTCTCTTCTTAGATTTCTTCACAGGCTGTATTAACACATTTAAATAATCAAGCATTGGAGTTCAGTTTTACAAAAAGGTAAGAGTACTTGGCACAAACACAGATTATCAATGAAATTATGTTTTATACAAAATGAAACTTGATTTGTACATGTATTCAGTTTCTCTTGTGCTAATTTTATTTCATCACTCTAAATACCGTTGAATTTCGTTATCTTGAACATGGATATCCTGAATACCATGGATATGTCGCAGTGATTTGGAAGTCCCAAGCAATTTTTCTTTAAGTATTTTTCCCTCAATATCTTGAACCCTTGGATACCTTGAAGTTATTTCTCGGTCCCATCGAGTTCGGGATAACAAAATTTGACTGTAATATACTTTTCTCTATGGACTACAGGTTTATTGTAATATTCTTCACTTACAAATAGTGGTGTTGTTTCTGAAGGACTATCCACATCATCTGGTTTTTCTCTTTTCTCTTGTCTACAACATTTAAGTAATCTAGATTCATTTACAAAAAAAAAAAAATTCCAATATTAAGATATTTCATCACAGTTTTATTTATAAATTCAAGTTTCAATAACTTGTACATGTTGTATTAGATGTGTGCATATCTGTATATTTGGAATCACCTCAAAATTGTATACCCTCTAAAAGATATGTTCCGTGTAATCTCTCAGTCACTGAATCTAAACTTTACTTTTTCTGTCTGGCAACATGTACTTAATATTGACAAATACTGATAGATACTGATCTATTTCTTGTATGTTAGTACAGTTATTTAATTTACATCAGGTACAGGTAGGTTCATGATAACTGACTTTTGCTTGTTTTAGACTTCTAGAGCATAGAAGAATTTCTTTATGGAGGAAAAAAAAGTTGTTTAAAAGTCTTAAGAAGAGCTAGATAGACTGTACCTAGGGTGTTTCCTTTCCCCGGTGGCTTCTTCCACAGCTTGAGCTGGACCCTCCACTTGTAATAAAACCTCTGGCTTGTTCTCCTGATGGAGGGTGTCTGGAAAAACAGGGGCCAACTTTAGCTCTGTGTTGTCTTCAGAAATGGGCATGGCATCTGCCTCAGTTGTATGTACTGGAGGAGTGGACCCTAAGTTTCTCACTCTCATATACAAAGTGTTGTGGCACTGATCTGCAACCTGTTGCAAACAGTCAAGAAAATAACATCTGAATTCAATCTTCGATGAAAATTTCAGAAAATGCGACTTTATATTTGCATTTATTCATAATGAGGGTAAAGCAAAATAATGTGAAAAACAAAAACCTTGAAGGCCTCCTCCAGTTCTCCCTGGCTACTCATGGCAATCTAAAACATGACATAATGTATTTTAATATTCACAACAGTCAAATTAAAAATTGTACAGGTAATTGCACTGTAAGCTTTTTTCTCTATGATTTTAAGTATCACTTAACAGAATATTTATCAGTTAAAAAAAAGTCCTTGCTACTTACATAGTCTCCTTCTGAGTCAACATAGTACACTCCCATATTTTCACAGTCAAACTGGGCTTTCAACTACAAATGACAATTTTATAAGTGTACTAAATGAAAAAAAAACCCAACAAAAAACAACTTTTACTTGCAAAATAAGAGTAAAGCAGAAAGAATATTCCTAACATAAATGTTTGTTTATCTCTGTCAAAATGTACATGAGAGAAAAGGGTAGACCATTCTGTAATCTTGTATGCAAAAAAGATCTCTTTTCTTTTTTGTGATGATTGCTGTAGAGGGGGTTTGATTTGTTAAAAAGATCCAGTCTCCCCCTGGATTCTCCAGCTTAAATGCTAATTGTGTCATGTTTCTTTGTGAGCCATCTGTACATCTATCAAGAATAGTCTAATGAAGATTTGAAAAAGTCATGGTATAAAAGCTACGGTTATCAGACTTTTCAGTGTTCCGCTTGAAACAGACTCATCATGATAGATGAACTGGTCATATATAGATGAACTGGTAGCTCTATCGGGAAGTTTCTAGTATGCCGGTCCCCAGAATCACGCGATTGCGCATGAGCAGTTATTTCCCTTGCCGTTGCTATGCAGAATGTAAACAAACCGCCATTTTCCCCTCGCTTCAACAAAACGCATTCGATCGAGTGATTAGGGTTAGGGTATATTGTTTTAAGATTGGAACTGTTTTATAAATCCACCGTTAATTAAATATGGCATTGTATGCGATCTACGAATTAGGGTTAGTGTATATATAGCTCGGATATTGTAACTGTTTTATATTCACCCATGCTCGCATCTATACCACTTTGGGCTTATTCATGCAATTTTTGCTTACAAAGAACAGGAAAGTTTTGCGAAACTTGGATGAATTAGCCTTGGTCTAATGTTGAAACATGCCCGATATTGTGCGCTAAGTTTTGGCAAGTAATTGGTAAAAGCGACTTACCGTTTACTTAAGCTCGATATCCTAACCTCCTAATGTCCATATTCAGAATATTTTTTTCTTTCAAATCAATGGTGATGTACAATTCAATCAACCAATTACTAGTAATTAGTTATCACTTGTTAAATCCCTGCATTTCTCACAAAAATCTCGCAATTTTAGTGTCATTCACTTTGAGTCCTATCAGCTACTTCTTCATCAGTCTTCATTACGTCAAAACACAAGTGACGCACGTCATGAATATTTATGAGATTACGTCAAAAACTGATCATGTGACCACATTCCTAAACAACGCAAAATGGAGTTTTATCTATTAAACAAGTACGTTATTTTACGAAACCTTTTAATTCTCATTTAAAAAACTGTGTTTAAAAACCAGTTTTTTAAACCCAATTTTTCACAAGGAACACGATTTTTGGCTCAATTTTGCGATTTGTGGCCTTTTTTTATCGATTTTGTCGATCGCTCACGCGATCATATTATATTGTACACCGCCTTCGACGGCACCTATTTTAGCGCCATATTTATAGGGACCGGTATACTAGAAGTGTCCCGCTCTATCTGAACATGACCACAGACCCATCTGTATTGTTGACTTTTAAACTGCATAAATAATTCTTTATAACACTAGAATATTCTGTGTATTCAAACTGGCCCAGTCACATGCCTCTGTGATCATATATAAAAATATTTGTGATTGTGAAATAGATCTTTCCATGCACTCCATAATGAAATATTACTATGTTCACATATAATCCAAAATAACATTTACATAATGAATAAATCATTTTAAATTAAGGTCTCGTCTCCATCATCTTCAAATGCACCCAAACCGCAAAGAAAATAACCGTTTTGGACTTCCTTGAACATCAAAATACTGATCTGACGTAAATTATCATGGCCACCATTTTGTTTTTTCGATTCAATGTTCACATTCAACAGTTTCTCTTTCTTTTCGTTTTAAATACATATATAATTTATGACAGTCAGTGAATGTGTTGACTCCTTAACCTTAAACCGTTTTTCAACAATTCTCCTGACTTAAGATAAAATAAAAATAACAAATACTTGACCAATTTGACACGCAAGAATCTCACCATTGCCTCCAAATCAACCCATCGGGTTTGACGATGAAGTTTGTAAATTTCGGAGACTTCGTTGTCCCCCTCATAGCTAATGTTTATCACTATTATTCCTGCCATTTTCAATTACACTGCTGTAACGAAATTTCTCAGAGTATCTTTTAAGTTATGGACAAATTTGGGTGACGAACTTTGTTACGAAAATAGCCATTACACTCTTGTTGACATATGAACCTTCTGATTACAACAACAGTAGAGCTACTTCCACAGAAGAAAATAGTTCTTTCCTCCATTGAATAAAATAAGTAATGTATGATTCATAAATTATCGATATTATTTAAAATTTGATAAATTTACAAACTTCATCAAAAATTATTATATATATTATATCTAAAATTCCAATTTCATTTTCTATTTACATATACACACTAAATAAGTGCGCGGATTAAATTTTCACAGAGATAAAAATAGAATGACGTCAGAAAATTTTCAGAGTTGTTTCTCTTACATTGCGTAAGAAAACCATTGGTGACGTTCATTCACGTGTTCAACATTGTTGTAAAAGCATTATCCTTTGAACATGATGCTGAAGGAGAATCATTGTAAAGTATTTTGTACCACTGTCAATGCAGTTCAGTCTAGAAGGCTATGTGAAATTTTAATTATATCCCCTGATTACTTTCATTCTTCTCTTGAAAATGTGTTAAAACATCGCTTGTCCCCATAGACTTCAATGCAATCTTTGTTAATTAATTACTGCTTAGTTAATTAAAATTTTGATACATCCTCTTGGTAAATCCTTTTCTACTGTAAAATGCTTTAAATTATTATCAGAGTATTATGTACATGATAGACATTTAAGGGTAGAGAATTTGGTCCTATTAGGGATGGAAAACCTAAAATGCGGCTTTGCCATTTCAATTTTGCAGGAAAAAAAAAAATAAAATTGTTTGTACGATTTTTTAATTCGTTTGAACGATGCGTCGCGTCTATAGACACCGAGTTTAAGTAAATGTTTAAAAAAAATCTAGATTTTTCGGAGATTATTGGTTTTGTTACTCCATAACAACTGCGGGGAGTTTGCAGAGCCATTGTTTTGCAACCAATCGAGATCCTTGAGAATTCTATAGATACAGCTGAGAGATCTAGTGCGACCAAGAGTGATTATTCTGACTGTAAGGACAAAGGATTTTGAGAGACTGATTACCTTTGCCATCCTTGGGATCAGGTGACATGGAAGAATAAGCATCACCTGTCGACCGGTCACGTCCTTCGTGTGCTCCTTGTCATGATCCGGAAAATCCGTAGACAATATTCAGTGTGTCAATTATTATGAAAAACGCCAGTCAGCATTCGATTTAATGATAAATTGTATTTGCTAACAAGGTCATTGTATCGATCATAGAACTTGCGAAATGTTGACTTTAAACGAGACTGTTGATATATCCTTGTTTCATCAATTTGTTTGTTCAATAGTTTGCCTCGTTCTAGAAATTGTTCGCACGTAGAGCATGCTATTGCGTATCGAATCAACTGGAAGAAATAAACTCCACATGCAGGTGAGAAGGGTACATTGCTGCATACTAATAAATAAGGGAAGTTGACGGTAGAAAAGTTGAAGTCGTCACGTTTATCATAAAGTTTTGTTGTTAGTTAACATTAACGTCTATCCAAATATATGAAACAGATGTGTCAGACTCTGTGCACTACTGGACGAAAAATGTGCTGAGAATCCCAAATTTTACTGATAATGTTTGATAATTACTGATACGGTGCTGTTCTTGCTGATAAATACTGATATTTACTGTTATTATTACTGTCGTTGCTGATAATTTTAGTTGTTTCTGATAAATACTGATAATTACTGTCGTCTTTATTGTGGAGTCTGATAAATACTGATAAATACTGTTGATGTGCTGTCGATGCTGAGATTTACTGATAATTACTGTGGTCTTTGTTCTTAAGCTGGGAAGGGCAAAAGAAGAATTGAGGGCTGTAAAAACCTTCAATTATTTCTTTCTTTTAATTATAAATTATCATTACGACATTTTCATATTTCTTTAAATGTTCTGCTAGTGACAAAAATTACGCTGATCTCATTTACTACAATACGGTTGTGAAAATGTTGACAATAAATAAATGAAACCTTCCGCGTATATTAAGCAAATGTTTTCTACCAATCTATGAAAATAGTACATTCAATTTATCTGTAAGCAAGATAAATGGAATTTTATTAATGTACTGTAAATAAAAAGAAAATAAGGCTATCTTTTAAAAAGATTCGTCGCCGCCCTCTCCCGACTCCAAGACATTTGGGAAGGGAGGTTGGTGATGTTTTTTTTTCAATAATAAGAAATAGTTCTTAATGAGTGGAAAAAAATTCAGGATAAAAATATTTCCTGCAGGTTAGAAAAGTTGATTCGCACGGTTTCACTCCGTCAGCTGGTCAAGAGAGGAGGACATTTTCTTTTTAAAGATGACCTTTCATATAGCTATTTTTGTTTTTTCGTTCTCAAAGACATTTTTTTTTTCATTTTTAAATGTTGAGTTTTCTGGTCTCTCAAGATATTTGAAAACTTTCTCGAAAATTAGAAATTTTATGCATTTTTAAAGTTAATAAAGAGATGAAAACAGAGATGAATATGTTCAATCTGGAGGCACAAATTATTTATTTATTTATTTATTTATTTATTTATTTATTTATTTATTCATTCATTTATTTGAAAGTAATATAGGCATTTTAGATTCTTCAAGAATATCTCTTCTACATCTACATGTACACGATACATACATGTGCAACCGGCAGATTGGGGGCTGATTAAAAATTAGTGCATGGTCAGAATCCCCAGTGTCAGAGCGAAGGTACACATGTGTTTATGTTATTTTGATGTTGGTCTCTTAAAATTTCATGACACGAAACATTTTTATTCAGTAAGTTTTAAAATCTCATTAATTTAATTTTATGGAATGTGAAATAAGAAATGAGACGTAATATAAAATGTTTACTTAGTAAAGTACATGTATATGATCAAATTGATAGATTTTAATCTTGTGTGGTCAAAAATTGCATGGAATAAATTGATCTTCATTGATCAAAAATCGAAGATCAGTCTCTGATTTGGCTGTATTGTGTACAAGTCTTCCACCGCGGGGTAGAACGGGGTACAACATGTATATTCCATGTAAATTGTAGTGGTCAGCGTAACAATGGGCACTAATTACCTATTGTTCCTCGTCTGCGGCCACCGGTGTACATAATAAACAAACTACCTACACTGTACATGTACTGTCTTCTTTGAGCAGGAAAATCTTTACGGTCGCACGGAAAAAAAAATATCCTGTAATATTCAATTTGTTGACGAATAAAATTGAAAATTGAAAAAAAAAACTATTTAGCAAAATAGGTCATTGCAGTACTAAGATAAAAAAAAAAAAAAGAAAAAGAAATGAAGTTATATACATATACATTGTACAGACTTAATATTCAATAATTATTTTAATTCACATAAATCTATCTTTGCTCAGTATTTAATTTCATTTGTTAGTTTTATGCACATTTCTTGACATGCTTGAGATAAATTTAAAAGAAAATCCCGGGAAAGGGGCTACATGTATTTTCAATTCTGAATCTCGGTTAACGATGGTTTGGGGCCCGTGAAACGGAGACGAGAAATTGATACGGAACATTTGACTTCATCTTATAATTAAAACATTATGCAAAATGTACATATAAATTTAAAAAAAAAAAAGATCGTTTAGTGAAAGCAATTATTGATATTATATTAGCATTAACTGTTCACAATTCAGAAACAGGGAATTAAACTCCACATCGCTCAGAATCCGTGAAAAAAATCTGTTATGAATTTTGAATGACAGTAACATGACGTTGTTGATCGCACTCATGAATAAATCTTATAGTTCTGAATTTGGTATCGTTCATTGATTTTCTAAAATAATTTTATTCATGTATATAAAAAATATGTAATAAGTAATTATAACATGTATATGACTTATTATAAATAAAACTAAAGAATCAACCTTGCGCGTATCAGTTTTAAGTTAACAGTATTTCACCCCCCCCCCCCCCCCCCGCCACCCCCCCCCCCCCTTTTGTGCTACAATAAAGCATAATCAAGTCGGTAAGCGCCCAGCCTGTACTGTTTGTCTATACAAAGGTCTCCGACAAGGAGAAAATGGAATAAAAAACATTATAATCTCAGTACAAAACTATTTCTAATTTTACAAAATTCATGTCGCACGATACACAGAATGTACTAATAATTGACCCGATTCTCAAAACGAAAGTAGAACTTTTACACGTGGTTGACATGTGTGTTCCAGAACAGTAATTTAGCTAGACGGCATTAATGGACGAAAGTAACTTCAAGTTTTGTTTTGTTTTATTTTATTTTGTTTTGTTTTGTTTTTATTAACTGACTGACCGCGTATAACATGTATAAGAAGTTATTTATTGATCTCCCGGATACCGGCGTATGTACATAGACCTAACGCAGATTTGTGTACTACAAAGAATTAAATAAAAAGACGTGTATTTCATTGATTGAAAATCACACTGCATAAGATTTATAGTGTACTGATGGCTTAACAATTAAAATAAAAAAAACCCGAAAGATAGAAAGCGTCGATACCACACAATGATATCAATTTCGCATCGAGGACGTAATCAGAGAACTAGAGCGCACTGGCTATATGTATATAAAAGAGATTATTCTACAAATTAAAGATGTTTTATTTTTATTATTTAAACCTGTCACATTCTTCAATAAAAGGACATAGTGTACACAACATAAAATAATATATTTTTTTGCGAGATATATTTAATACTGGCTAAAGTGTCTTCTTAAAATGATAGATGTATGTAAATAGAGGGGGGTGGGGGGTGGGGGTCTCAACTTACAGAGCTCATACATGTTCAGTTCTCCACACGAAAAAATAAATTGACAATAACAACCACTGACTATATTAAAGATGCCCTCTAAAAGCTTTTGATGACAATACAAATACACGTGGAAAAAATATGAGATGGAATTTTTTTTAAACCTTTAAAAATAAAAACTTGTTTTAAAAAGTACTTGTGGAGAAAAACCACTGCGATAACAACACAATTATTATTTTCGGCAGATGTTGAAAACTTTGTGAAAGGAGAAATATAAAGGTAAAGAAAAACAAACATTTATGATCTAATTTTAACATTATGATGTAAAAATGATTATAAA